GTAGTAGTGTTTCTGTTCTCGACAACGCCCAATATGACTTTGGTAGTAGTATTCCTGTTCTCGACAATGCCCAATATGACTTTGGTGGAAGTATTCCTGTTCTCGACAACGCCCAATATGACTTTGGTAGTAGTGTTCCTGTTCTCGACAATGCCCAATATGACTTTGGTGGAAGTATTCCTGTTCTCGACAACGCCCAATATGACTTTGGTAGTAGTGTTTCTGTTCTCGACAACGTCCAATATGACTTTGGTAGTAGTATTCCTGTTCTCGACAACGCCCAATATGACTTTGGTAGTAGTGTTTCTGTTCTCGACAACGCCCAATATGACTTTGGTAGTAGTATTTCTGTTCTCGACAACGCCCAATATGACTTTGGTAGTAGTATTCCTGTTCTCGACAATGCCCAATATGACTTTGGTGGAAGTATTCCTGTTCTCGACAACGCCCAATATGACTTTGGTAGTAGTATTCCTGCTCTCGACAACGCCCAATATGACTTTGGTAGTAGTGTTTCTGTTCTCGACAACGCCCAATATGACTTTGGTAGTAGTATTCCTGTTCTCGACAACGCCCAATATGACTTTGGTAGAAGTATTCCTGTTCTCGACAATGCCCAATATGACTTTGGTAGTAGTGTTTCTGTTCTCGACAATGCCCAATATGACTTTGGTAGTAGTATTCCTGTTCTCGACAACGCCCAATATGACTTTGGTAGAAGTATTCCTGTTCTCGACAACGCCCAATATGACTTTGGTAGTAGTGTTTCTGTTCTCGACAATGCCCAATATGACTTTGGTAGTAGTATTCCTGTTCTCGACAACGCCCAATATGACTTTGGTAAAAGTATTCCTGTTCTCGACAACGCCCAATATGACTTTGGTAGTAGTATTCCTGCTCTCGACAACGCCCAATATGACTTTGGTAGTAGTGTTTCTGTTCTCGACAACGCCCAATATGACTTTGGTAGTAGTATTCCTGTTCTCGACAACGCCCAATATGACTTTGGTAGAAGTATTCCTGTTCTCGACAACGCCCAATATGACTTTGGTAGTAGTGTTTCTGTTCTCGACAATGCCCAATATGACTTTGGTAGTAGTATTCCTGTTCTCGACAACGCCCAATATGACTTTGGTAAAAGTATTCCTGTTCTCGACAATGCCCAATATGACTTTGGTAGAAGTATTCCTGTTCTCGACAATGCCCAATATGACTTTGGTAGAAGTATTCCTGTTCTCGACAATGCCCAATATGACTTTGGTAGAAGTATTCCTGTTCTCGACAAAGGCCCAATATGACTTTGGTGGAAGTATTCCTGTTCTCGACAATGCCCAATATGACTTTGGTAGTAGTGTTTCTGTTCTCGACAATGCCCAATATGACTTTGGTAGTAGTATTCCTGTTCTCGACAACGCCCAATATGACTTTGGTAGTAGTGTTTCTGTTCTCGACAACGCCCAATATGACTTTGGTAGTAGTGTTTCTGTTCTCGTCAATGCCCAATATGACTTTGGTAGTAGTATTCCTGTTCTCATCAGCGCCCAATATGACTTTGGTAGTAGTGTTCCTGTTCTCGACAATGCCCAATATGACTTTGGTAGTAGTGTTTCTGTTCTCGACAATGCCCAATATGACTTTGGTAGTAGTATTTCTGTTCTCGACAACGCCCAATATGACTTTTGTAGTAGTGTTCCTGTTCTCGACAATGCCCAATATGACTTTGGTAGTAGTATTCCTGTTCTCGACAACGCCCAATATGACTTTGGTAGTAGTATTCCTGTTCTCGACAAAGGCCCAATATGACTTTGGTAGAAGTATTCCTGTTCTCGACAACGCCCAATATGACTTTGGTAGTAGTATTCCTGCTCTCGACAACGCCCAATATGACTTTGGTAGAAGTGTTCCTGTTCTCGACAACGCCCAATATGACTTTGGTAGTAGTGTTTCTGTTCTCGACAACAGCCAATATGACTTTGGTAGTAGTGTTTCTGTTCTCGACAACAGCCAATATGATTATGTTGTAACATCGCTGTTTTCAACAACGCTCAATCTGACTTAGGTGTTAGCATCACAGTTCCTTACAACATCCTATATGACTTTAGTATAATATCGACAACACCTAATATGGTGGTAGTTTTGCAGGTAATGACGACACCCAATACAACTGACTGTAAAACAAAATGTGAGAACAACCATGTACTTAACAAAACAGTCGTTCAGTTACAATCTGAAAGATATACACTAGTGCTTTAAAAAAAACAGCATTACATAGACAGAAATCCTTTACACGCCTGTATCAAGTAACAGGATGTTAACTGGTTACAAAAGACTGAAATCATCAGCGCAGCACAAAAGAAATATTACCCACGTTACAACTCCCGGCTCCTATTGTCACAACAATGTGAGGACATAGTCATTAATGCAGCAATCGTCATAAGAATATACCCATAATATGCAGTTGTATTCACATGACACTAAACGGTACACAGACATGCACTCACTCGTACACTCACAGTCTGTTGAATCACAAACGATCATCACTGTGACAGTCAAAACCGCGCTGACATTTCTGGGAATAGAGTTTGTAGATATGCAGAATGGTTAACTTTTGGTGAGCACATTCACTGTTTTTCAGGTTCACCTGTGTCGTGCATCCAATTGACAGAGGTGTAGAGATTTCAAGCAGGAAGTTGTATCAGGTTGTCAGAGAGGTTTCCGATTCCCTGGTGGTTTTGTCGATCCCTTTGTCCGTGAATGTTTTCTGCTGTCTAATATTACTCTTCATGGTCACAGCGAGCGTATTTAGGCCAGAAGCATGACATTTCGCTTAGAGAGGAGCTGGAAAAATGTCAGAATACAATTTGGTTTCATTTTGTCCTGTTTCGTTTTAGTTAGTGTACAGGTGTTGTTTTAGTTACAAATGTTTTAGTTACGAGTGTTGTTTTAGTGTACACGTTTTTGCACAAGTTCGTGTTTCGGTTAAGTTAAGCTCAGAACATTCGGTCCTATGAGTTACTTATTAAGTGTTATTATGAATAATCATTTTCTTGTATAAAGCATATTAAACACCATCAGGCCAGTTATAAGCAGCTGCATTCATGTCACTGCCTGAAGTATCCAGGGCAAGCTGGTAGCCCTTTCCTGTCACAGTCTCGGGTTATATTAGGTATGGAGATATGGATCTATCTAAGAAAGCTAAAAATTTGAAAATCGTTAAAGAGAACGAACTGATATGATCTGAAAGGTTAAGGTTTTTTTATCATTGTAAACTGAAATCTTCTTTGAAATAACTTCTTTCTGGTCCAATTCCGCATATTTAGTCCTGAAATGAACCTTCAAACTTTAGAATTAGATAAAATAATCTGTTAGTACGTGTAACTGTGATGAAAGATGACGTTAGAGATATGCTAAGGCACGTTGACAGCACAAAGGCAACTGGCCCTGATTGTATTGGAAATACGATTTTTAAAAGTGCAGCTTACAGTTAAGCTCCAATCCATTCTAAACTATTCAATTTCTCTCTTCAACGCCCAAGATTCCCATCACTATGGAAAGAAATTCGTATCATTCCTGTTCATAAAAACAACAGCGTAAATGAATGTATATTACAGACATGTGGTACTCACAAGTTGTACACCAAAGATATTTGAAAAATATATTTTCAAACATGTCTATAACTATTTAAGGAATAATAATGGTCTTACTCCCCCACAGTCTGGATTCATGCAGGGTGACTCCTACTCACATCAGTTAATATGGAAAGTCCTTAGATGAAGGTAGGGGAGTTTTGTGACATCAGTAAAGCTTTCGGTAAAATTTGGCACAAAGAAATAAGTCATAAACTACAACATTTTGGTATCTGTAGAAAGTTATTGGTTGACAGTTACTTAGAAAATCGATGTGTAAGACAGGGGTCCGTCTTGGGACCAATAGTGGTTATTATTTATATCAATGATATTTCAAAATCGCTTTCCCTCTCTCACAAATATTACCGAAACATTGCGAGTTTTCCTGGAATGCGCGCATTAATATTTATTACGTCACAGGGTAAGTGATGTGTCAGTCGGACAGTGACAGTAGCCAATATAGTTCCAACTGAAATCTGTTTCTTATACAGTGGCGAAGCAACATATACGCAAAACAACAATTGTTTTTAATTGCCTTTCGCGGCAATCCATCGGTCTGTCCGCTAGAGTAACTGCCCTTTGTCAAAGGGAAGCTACTCTAACCCTAGTCTATGAGACGTCACGGCCACGGTCATACGTTGTTGACAGTCGGTCTGTCCTGTCATGACAATAAGAAGTGTAGTCAGATGTACACACAGCGACAAAACGAAACAAGGTAACAATTCAAACATATTTCCGCCAAATCAAACTATTTTAATTTGTGGAGGAGGTGTCAAGCCGCAGAGGTCTACAAGTACAGATATGGCTACTGATCCCGTTTGGCTAGGCCTCGTGCCCTCGCCAAATTGTTTCGAAATTTATATCTCCAAAGTTGACAAAACTTATAGAATGCCTCAGCTACGTCACAGTTAGACACAGATTTTCAGTATATTAGACTGTTCTTTTGATAATGATAGCAATTATTCCTGTAGTTTATCCAGATTCCCGATGGTTAATTCTGACTCGATTGCCGAATGACAAGGGCGACGCCATGTTTGTTTATAAACAGTGAAAGTAGTCCCAACTTGACCTTTGATATTTGCATCTCTATCCGCATATGACCCCAACGGATATCGTTTTTATCCTTTGGCTTTATCCTGCCGAGAAACCTACCCATTATATGATAAATTTAGATACACATCAAGCTCAGCATGTATATTTCATTTGTTCCATTCAACTTTGACTGACGCATAAATTGCATCATGAAGAGGTATTCACATAAGCGATTTGCTTGATTAGCAACCCATTTGCATGTTTTTTTTGTAAACATACAGTTTTTGTTGCTTGGAACTAATTAGCAAAATGTAATTAATAGTATATTCATTTTCAATTCAGTGCCAGAGTCAGACAACCAAGACAATAGGCAATCTCACCCTCGTCTGTCCTCCTGGTGAGTATTTAGAGAGAGAGAGAGAGAGAGAGAAAGAGAGAGAGAGAGATGGTCATAACACTAAGGGTACACTGGATAAGTGACTTAGAAGTTCTTGGCATGAAGTTAAATCAAATGAAGTGATCAATCAAAATTGTGAAGTTTCTATTGGAAATCACGGTTATTAATGTTTTGACCTATTGTTAAACACTTAGAGAGCATTTCATTGAAATTATTCTTTGACCTTTATGTAAGCATGTGAAGGGTTTTCTCATAGATAACATAGAGTTTGTTATGTGTCTACCCAGGTACTCGGAGTACCCATGATCTATAAGTTTTAATGTTGTTAGTTTTCATGAAAATATTGAAACTATGCTATTACATACCGGCTTATAGAGTACCGCAAAAACATCCCAGTTAGATTTTATTCTGGATGCACTAAATTCGGTTATTAGCAATAAAATGTGTTATTTTGATGGGTGTTATTATTCACAACAGAAAAGAGTAGCTTGGGGTACATTGGTAGCCCCTACTTATGCATCTCTTGAAAGGGGACGTTAAATGTTTCAGAGAACATCTCATTCTATGACAAGGTAGGTTACATAGTGGGAGGATCCATGAAAGAAAATATTGAAAATTCCAGGAATCGTTTTTAAGATGACGGTATTATTATGTTAAAAAGCAGTGATATTCAACTCATAGCTATCCACGAAAATCTTAATTCACCTGATCCTTCACCCAGTTTAACCACTGGAAAAAGTGGAATTAGTCGACAAACGATGTAAGAATCAAATTGAGATCTAGTGATATGTACATACTGACATCAAACTGTCATGCTGATACGCATCAATATTAACATTGTTTATAACACTGAACGTAATATCCCCTATTATATATATGTACGTGTGTGTGCGTGCGTGCGTGCGTGCGTGCGTGCGTGCGTGTGCGTGCGTGTGTGTAATGAATAAACAATCTATTACAAATTAAATTCGAGGTAGAATATATATTCTAGGTTTTCTTAATTTCGATCTTACAATTATGTGTAATTTATATTACATTTGATAATGAAACACATCAAAGAAATTAATACCAGCCTCTAAAGATTAAAAAATCACCAACATTCTTAATTTATTACCTTAGTAATAGATAGTTGTGTCATTCTATAACGGATTTATACACATTACGAAACATTAAAACGTATATAAAACAGTATGTTGTTACCAGGTTTTGTTTTGTAGGGTGGACGTTTTATGGAACCAGCTGTTATCTCAAAGTATCAACGGTTATGGAAAGGGAGGAAGCCAAGGAACTATGTATAAGGTAGTCTCGGGGGTAGCTTACGATTAGAATATGTGTATAACGTTTGGAAAATCTATATCGATAAGCGTTTGAGCTGTCACAGGCGTCGAGATTCTTCCTGGTGTGTATAGGTAAAGGGAGACAACTCCTCCACACGCGGCTTCCCCTGTATACCCAAAGTTCAGCTCTATTCTAAAAGTTTCAGCAATTTGAAGCTAGTATGCATTAGTGATGTGAATATATAACGATGTAATATTTATTGATATAACTGCATTATAATACACCTGTGGCCATCACCACCTTGTATTGCATCCAGAGTGAATATGGTTTTGCGCCCGCCGATGTTAGCAATATTCCAATTATCACGGCGGGGAACACCGGAAACGCTGAATCTGGGAAGGTTTGGATATACGTCTTTTATATCAGTGAGTGAGTGAGTGAGTTAAAGTCACATCGGCAATATCTCAGTCATATCGTGACAATAATAACAGAGAAGAGGAGGTTTTGACATATGCGTTTGTATAACAGAGAACAGTAAGGTTTTGACACACATGTTTTACAACAGAACAAGAGGTTTTGACATATGTGTTTTATAACAGAGAACAGGGAATGCCTTTGGAGATACAAGATGAGGTTGAAAACAAAGCTTTGGCTGATATGGCTGCCGACTGGGACATGTTTTGGGTCGGAGAAAAGATTAATGGTAAGGAACAGCAAGAGCAAATGTTTCGTAATTATTTAGCAGACTATTTCTAAATATTAGGTGATATAGTTTGTTTTATCTCTGCTCTCAACGATATCTCAATTCAATCAGGACGTGCCATCAAAGAACATAATCAGTGTTCACAAACCAAGAGCATAATCAGTGCTCTCGAACTAACATAATCAGTGCGCACAAACTAAGAACATAATCAGTGCTCACAAACCAAGAACATAATCAGTGCTCACAAACCAAGAACATAATCAGTGCGCACAAACCAAGAACATAATCAGTGCTCACAAACCAAGAACATAATCAGTGCTCACAAACCAAGAACATAATCAGTGCTCACAAACCAAGAACATAATCAGTGCTCACAAACCAAGAACATGAACAGAACTCAAATACCAAGAACATAATTTATGCGCATCTGTTATTCGAACTTACGATTTACAGGTTTCTCGTACGCAAAAGGGACGCAACTCTGCCCCCGTGCCCTCCTATTTGGTTGAATACACAATGGACCAGTCAAATTATCCTGTTTTGAAAAGAGGAAAAAAACGTTATCTTAGTACTATTGTTTGTACCACTTTCAAAGCCTTAACAAGTTATCATCATCTTCATGAATCTCCGAACCAACAGAGATTATATAACATGATATGTGTCTCTACTTACCTCAGATTCCTGTAATGGCTACTGGGATGTTAAGTAAACTTGGACATGTGGTTCTACTGACCCCAGATTCCTGTAATGGCTACTGGGATGTTAAGTGCACATGGACATGTGTTTGTACTGACCACAGATTCCTGTAAGGCCTACTGGGATGTTTAGTGCACATTGACATGTGGTTCTACTGACCACAGATTCCTGTAAGGGCTACTGGGATGTTTAGTACACATGGACATGTGGTTCTACTGACCCCAGATTCCTGTCAGGGCTACTGGGATGTTTAGTGCACATTGACATGTGGTTCTACTGACCACAGATTCCTGTAAGGCCTACTGGGATGTTTAGTGCACATTGACATATGGTTCTACTGACCACATATTCCTGTAAGGGCTACCGGGATGTTTAGTAAACATGGACATGTGGTTCTTCTGACCTTAGATTCCTGTAAGGCCTACTGGGATGTTAAGTAAACATGGACATGTGTTTGTACTGACCACAGATTCCTGTAAGGCCTACTGGGATGTTTAGTGCACATTGACATGTGGTTCTACTGACCACAGATTCCTGTAAGGCCTACTGGGATGTTTAGTGCACATTGACATGTGGTTCTACTGACCACAGATTCCTGTAAGGGCTACTGGGATGTTTAGTAAACATGGACATGTGGTTCTTCTGACTTTAGATTCCTGTCAGGGCTACTGGGATGTTAAGTAAACATGGACATGTGTTTGTACTGACCACAGATTCCTGTAAGGCCTACTGGGATGTTTAGTGCACATTGACATGTGGTTCTTCTGACCACAGTTTCCTGTAAGGCCTACTGGGATGTTTAGTGCACATTGACATGTGGTTCTACTGACCACAGATTCCTGTAAGGCCTACTGGGATGTTTAGTGCACATTGACATGTGGTTCTACTGACCACAGATTCCTGTAAGGCCTACTGGGATGTTCAGTGCACATTGACATGTAGTTCTACTGACCACCGATTCCTGTAAGGGCTACTGGGATGTTTAGTAAACATGGACATGTGTTTCTACTGACCCTAGATTACTGTAAGGGCTACTGGGATGTTTAGTACACATTGACATGTGGTTCTACTGACCCCAGATTCCTGTCAGGGCTACTGGGATGTTTAGTAAACATGGACATGTGGTTCTACTGACCACAGATTCATGTAAGGGCTACTAAGAGGATTAGTAAACATGGACATGTGGTTCTACTGACCTCATATTCCTGTAAGGGCTACTGGGATGTTTAGTAAACATGGACATGTGTTTCTACTGACCCCAGATTCCTGTCTGGGCTACTGGGAGGTTTAGTAAACATGGACATGTGGTTCTACTGACCACAGATTCCTGTAAGAGCTACTGGGATGTTTAGTAAACATGGACATGTGGTTCTACTGACCCCAGATTCCTGTAAGGGCTACTGGGAGGTTTAGTAAACATGGACATGTGTTTCTACTGACCACAGATTCCTGTCAGGGCTACTGGGAGGTTTAGTAAACATGGACATGTGGTTCTACTGACCCCAGATTCCTGTCAGGGCTACTGGGATGTTTAGTAAACATGGACATGTGGTTCTACTGACCACAGATTCCTGTAAGGGCTACTGGGAGGTTTAGTAAACATGGACATGTGTTTCTTCTGACCCCAGATTCCTGCCAGGGCTACTGGGATGTTTAGTAAACATGGACATGTGGTTCTACTGACCCCAGATTCCTGTAAGGGCTACTGGGAGGTTTAGTAAACATGGACATGTGGTTCTACTGACCTCATATTCCTGTAAGGGCCACTGGGATGTTTAGTAAACATGGACACGTGGTTCTACTGACCCCAGATTCCTGTCAGGGCTACTGGGATGTTTAGTAAACATGGACATGTGGTTCTACTGACCCCAGATTCCTGTAAGGGCTACTGGGAAGTTTAGTCAACATGGACATGTGGTTCTACTGACCTCATATTCCTGTCAGGGCTACTGGGATGTTTAGTAAACATGGACATGTGGTTCTACTGACCCCAGATTCCTGTCAGGGCTACTGCGAGGTTTAGTAAACATGGACATGTGGTTCTACTGACCTCATATTCCTGTCAGGGCTACTGGGATGTTTAGTAAACATGGACATGTGGTTCTACTGACCCCAGATTCCTGTCAGGGCTACTGGGAGGTTTAGTAAACATGGTTAACGTGTTTCTCCTGACCTCAGATTCCTGTAAGGGCTACTGGGAGGTTTAGTAAACATGGTTAACGTGTTTCCCCTGACCTCAGATTCCTGTCCGGGCTACTGGGAGGTTTAGTAAACATGGTTAACGTGTTTCTCCTGACCTCAGATTCCTGTCAGGGCTACTGGGAGGTTCAGTAAACATGGGTAACGTGTTTCTCCTGACCTCAGATTCCTGTCAGGGCTACTGGGAGGTTTAGTAAACATGGTTAACGTGTTTCTCCTGACCTCAGATTCCTGTCAGGGCTACTGGGACGTTAACGAGCCGCCAGCCAGTGTCAAGGCAGGAGATTGTGCAGCTGTACAGAAGAACGGTCGCTGGAAGGTTGTGCCTTGTCAGAGTCGTCTTCCTTTCTTTTGCAAGAATCCATCATGTTTAGAAGGTATGTTACTTTACTTTAGGAGGTATATAACAATATTGCATTTGTTCTCTCTATTAACGTATCCCCTCTAATCCAATACATTTTCCAACACATAACCATAGACAAGTCTGCAAGTCTGGTCAATGAGCGTCCAAACTCCATTCTAGGAATTCAGGCTAAGGTGTTTTGTGTAAATTGCAGGTTCGTTCGACTGTGGACGTGGCAGCTGCCTGAACAACAAGTGGAAGTGTGACGGCATCAATGACTGCGGCAACAACAGGGACGAGATGGACTGCAGTAAGTTACACTAACTGTAGATACACACTTTTTTAATTGCATGATTCATGTGTCCATAGGGGAGTATCGCTTCTTTTAGCGGCATTCGACTATTAGCGACATCAGCAGTTCCTTTAATTAACACTAGTTAAAGTTTTCAGGAAAGATGATAGGATTGCCATATCAATGATAATGGGCAGTCATGTAACACATGTGTTGTTGCCTTAAGCACGTGACTTTGTAAGTAATATACCTCTGTTCACCCAGCACTAAATGGGTACCCGGAAGGATGAGATAGCAGTGTGACTGTTAACCTTCTAGGTGTTGGGTTTTACTTCACCTCAGTCAAATCCAAAAAAAATGTTTGCTTCAAAAGAGGAACCTGGCAAATGGATGAATAACTAGAAAACAGGATTTAAAACCAGGGCGGGTTTTGAACTGTACAAATCCGTTGACTGTCAAATCATATTGGACAGCCGTCTGTGTTATGTTACGTGGAGAAGATGGCTGGGGGATAGCTGAGTGTTGTGGTGGGGATGTAATGTAGCAGCATACGAATTACGTACATGTCACTCCAAGTCATGCTTTTACAAACAACTGCCTTGGTGCATTGAACGTCGGGTCACATAATACTGACTTGTGAACGCACAACACACTTAACTGACATGCCACTATCAACACCCCTCCCCACGATTATATATGTTTCCAAATGCAATGAAATACGTCAATACACCTACCTAGCAGCTCTCCGTCCCTACGTGCCGCTCTTAACGGAAAGCACCACCAACCAATAAATGTAGGGAATGCTTACAGATGCACAATAAATAACCAAAACTAAAGATACATATTATCAGTATCGCGGCGCTAAATGTGAATTTAACAATATTTTCAAGAATGAAGTCAATTTTGATACATAATTTAATGGACAGCCTTGTTTGACATGATCATGTATGGTATATGTACTTATATACGTATGTAAAAATAATTATGGCACCGAAATATATGGTACAGCTTTAAGTGAACTTTCATTTCTTATATGGTGTAGGTTCCAAATGTACATTTCGAGAAACCGGCGCAAGTGGCGGCATCAACTATTTCAGCGGCTACGCCAACAACGCCGACTGCATGTGGACCATCATCACTCCTCCTGGGACACAGATTGGCGTCACGGTAGGACATCACTCAAAGAACATCCCCTCAAAACCTTGAACATATAGATATCAATGAAACGTGTACGATATTACCGATATGCATCTGTTTCTTCTCCAAAGGGGTGCCAGTGGAAGGATACACAGTAGGCTCTCCGGAAAACGTGTAAAATACAATGCAGGGTCTGACACTTCTTTGAGAAAAATACAAAACTATACAGTATATTATATATACCACTCACGAAAATAGAACGCGTAACCACATTTTTGGTGTGGGAAGTAACACACATCTTAACATCTGAAATGAGAAATGAGTACGGATCACACATTGGGGAATGTAAGCAAACTCGGCCTGTTGTGCATGTGCATGTTGTTGCAGTGTCTGTCGTTTAGAAGCTTACACTGTGGTTCCGTAGACATGCTACTGTTGAATGTGCTATATGCGGTCAAGCATTGTCGTGTTGAAGCTCGATGTTGCACAAATCTTGATTCGAAGCTGGACTCGCCAGTGTTCAACCGCTGGACTGGCCATCCATACTCTGCGTGTTTGACACCTCTGATAGGCTTTGCCATGGCTCTAGATCTCAAACCTACTTCCTGAAGCTGATAACGCCATGTCTGGTTACATATCATTGGTAATCATGGTATTGTTGGTAAGATGTGTATATCTTTGTCGCAAATATGTGGAGATGGACACATTGACTACCATGGCGACACTCGACTGCGATTCCTTTAATTCCAATCGTCCGACGAGTTTCTTGTTTGGTGTGCATAAGTGAGGTGTGACCGCGCAGCTGAAATGTTGCAGATAACTTCAGCAATTGAAAAACAACCCGTTTATTACGTATTTGTGATGGTGAACCCGTGGTGTTGTCTGTGTTGTTGGGTTTGTTTGCATTTAGGCCTTGCTGCGTGTACTGATTCAAACAATGTTATTATTGATTCGGTACCAAAGGACATTATATCTATGCTTCGCATGAATTCTACTTATTTACATTTCTTTTTGTAATTTTGTAAGTGGACATGCATAGCAAACATAATTTGCATCCTGGTGTTTTGCATCCTTCAGTTCAGCTCTGTGCGCCTGGAAGACAAGGTGGATTTGCTGGAAGTGAGGGTTGGAGGCCAGACGATTCAGGATACCCGAGTGTTGGAGACACTGACAGGCAGTCTGGACAACAAGGTCATCTACAGCACCAACAACATGATGCTGCTGCGTCTTACATCTGACTCTTCCGTTACAACATCTGGTTTCAACCTCACCTGGTCATCTTGTAAGTCTTGTGTGGATAATACGTCAAGGTTTTGTGCAGCATTGTGTATAGCATTCACACTACCTAATGATTTATGTAGTACTTGCGAGATCAACTGTACCAGAATTCTGAATTCTGTTCGCAGCAACCAGTGGCCTCCCTACGGACGTCCGCCCTATCCCTGCTGGGTCATCGTGGACAGACTTGACGTCCCCATTCTTCCCCAGCACCCCACCCAGCGGCTTCCGACTGGAGTGGTTGGTGTCCAGCTCAGACAATACAATTGTCACTCTCATGGTAAAGTTATGGTAAAACATTAAAGGCAAGAAAAATACATATCTATGATAAGTATAAAGCACATATAAAATCGTTGATGCATGTATTGTATGTTAACATATCTTTTCGTGTAAGAGTGAGTGAGTGAGTGAGTGAGTTGGGTTTAACGCCGCTTTTAACAGTATTCCAGTTATATCACGGCGTGTCAGCTTAATGTGGGAGGAAAGCCCGAAGTGATGAATGGTGCTGACAAACCTAGAAACATAATTGGGGCGAACCGGGATACGAACCCACAATCATAGATTTCTGGCGTGCCCAAGGGACGCAACTCTGCACAGCGAAATGCGGCGCCTTAGACGACTGGGCCCCCCTTTTTGTGTAAGAATGAAGCAATACTTTCTGTCTTTGTCGAATACTCTGCACATGATACTGTTATGCACGGGACATGAGAGTATTGGTATATTGATATGTGTTTCGTTCTGTAGAATACGCGAACAAACAAGTTATCACACCTATTGTTTTGTTCAGGTGGAGGAAGTTGACCTCGCCCCTGACTGGATGTTGATGGTGTACAATGGTGAAGGGTATGACGATATTCTGCTGATGGCCTCCAGGCGTGCGGATCTCTCTTCACCGGCCATCTATTTCTCCACCGCCAGTAAAATACGGATTATCCTGAAAGGGAAAGACACATCTGGTGGAGGACGTGGCATCAAACTAAGGGTTAAGAATGGTAGGATGTGTCCATGGTCGCATTAAACATTCATATTATAAAATGTTTTTCACAATAACATCAATGATTAGTTTGGACTAATTATACACTCATGATCATTAAATCTATTTTCTGCTTTATAGAATTCAGTCATGTTCTAACCAAGAAGTAAACTCTAAATCTATGTGACATTCATCTGCACGGTGCAACGTTGAGATACAAGCAGCTGGTGGTACAATAGACACAGCATTGATTCAGTCATGTTCTAACAAAGAAGTAAACTCTAAATCTATGTGACATTCTTCTGCAGGGTGCAACGTTGAGATACAAGCAGCTAGTGGCACAGTTTCCTCACCTGGATTCAGCAAGAAGAGGTACCCGACCTCAGTGACCTGTTCCTGGAAGATTCAGGCTCCAAGTGATGCAAACAGGAACCTCATGGTCAAATTCCTCTACCTTGTTCTGGAGACCGGTGGCAAGGATCTGATCAAGGTACGTCACCATTGCACATTAGAAAGAGGAAACATTGTTTTTGCAACTATTTGTGACAATGGATGAAACCTGCAAGTCCAAACAGCAATCTGTAAGTACCCATTGGACATAACGTAATGTCTCCGACAAAATATTTCACTATTACGTCATTCCTTCTGTGTGGGGTTCAGAACGTAGCAATCAAACCTCTGGAGCACGTAAGCAGTCTAAGCGAGGTACTTCATCTGTTGTTATGCTGGAAATAATTACATTTTAGAAAAAGCAAATATTACGAAATAATAACTGTACCATTAGAATATTTTGGTGAACCTAGATGTGACGTATGTACATTTTAAAAACCACAATAACTGATTTCACTATACGTCAGATATACAATGGTTCAGACGCCTCGGCTGGAGTCCTCCATACGGGCAGCGGGTACACAGGGGATCTAACGTCATCTCTTCCCAGCGTCAACGGAGGCAACACTCTCTACATCAGGTTCAAGTCTAGCCTCATTCAGGACAAGGGAGGATTCCAGTTTGAGTTCTCTATAGGTGAGCATCATTTATAAGCATTGCGTTTTTTACACACCATTTGAGATGGTGGTAACAAACGTGTGTGACATGTCCGTGATTGGCTACTCCATGGTAATGACCTAGGTCAGATTATGACGAACAACTTTCCTTAATGTCTTTGAAAGGCATTTAGAAGTGATACACATAAGGAAGAGCATGTATGGATGTCAACTTCTTTATTATGAGGAACACCACGTTTCGGAGTATATGCTTACTCCTTCATCAAGTGAATGAATGCCATGAGGCAGAGAGTGAGTGAGTAAGTTAGGTTTTACGCCGCTTTTAGCACTATTCCAGCAATATCACGGCGGGAAACACCAGAAAGGGGCTTCACACATCGTACCCATGTCGGGAATCGAACCCTGATGAACGAACGCTTTAACCACTATGCTACCCGACCGCCCCCATGCGGCAGAGAGCATATATATGTACATGTAAGGACAACAAAATTAATAAGATAACAAAAGGTGAAAAACGACAAGGGGTGGAAACTAACAAGGGAAGCCAACAGATGATTGGCGCTGATAGGTGATTAGCAATAGACAATGGAAGCAAACACTTTACAATAAGTAGCGCTGATAGTATGGAAGCCAGTACTTAAGTTATCATTGATAGGTAATAGACAGTGGACCATGGCCAAACGGCAGGCCGGGGGTAATTAGTACTGATAGGTGAAAGAATGGAAATCACAATGCGCAAATGGGAGCCCGCGAGATAATTAGCACTGACAAAGATGAAAGCAATAAGTCCTAAACACTAGGCAGATAGGTTCCATGGTCACGGTTCATGGCTGGCTGGTGTCTCCTGATGTCAATGGCTTCTTGTACTTTTGTTTGTCGCTAGTTGTTGTTGTTGGTAGACAGGACTCTGGTGGCTTCCCGCATGATGTTATGGTTTTGGTTCTTCAGGACATGTTCGGAAACAGCGGATTTCAGGTCGAGTTTGTTCTTTGAGTCCGGTGTTGACGGGTCTGAGGGTTTTTCCAATGAACTGGTAGCCACAGTTGCAGGCGACCTGGTATATACATCCTCGGGGGTAGGGACTTACACTGCTTGTGCCTCTGCCATTGGCTTGTAGATGGGTCTTGATGGACTTGCCGCTAGAGAAGGTGACATCTATGTTGGCATGTCAATGTATATGCTGTCTGCCTCATAGCATTTATTCACCTGATGAAGGAGTAAGCATGTACTCCGAAACGTTGTGTTCCTCATAATAAAGAAGTTGACATCCATATATTCTCTTCCTTACCTTTCCTGAAGTTAATTCCTTGTAAGTTTCTTTTACTTCAGTCAAATTCACGTACGTCTGTGTATTTAGTTTGCATTATCGTCATCACCTTGACTGAAATTATTTTGTGGAGGATCACACTGGTTTTTGAGTAGTGATGTGAGCATCCTAAACACTGCGCACTGTGGTAAGCCCAGGTGTACTCACTAAACAGGGTCCATACCCGTAAGTCATTTGATACAATCCTGTTCTTTGACGAATACTCAGGTGGTTTTCCTTTAGTTCCCACTGTTACATAAAGACATTCATCAAAATGCATCAGCTATGGATGAAGATAAGGTGTGACTATTACCTGTATGAACTCCACAAATTCCATATATTCCCGACAGATGTACGTGTGAGTATCTTTAACAATGAAAATATTGTGAATCAGGCACTGAATACTAATTTTGTATTTTATCAGACTGCCCTTCTATTCCTGACTCGTCAAACATGGTGCAATCAACTCCCGCAACATCCTATCTCAGCTCTGTGACTGTCAACTGCACAACTGGATACTCGTTCAAACAGGAGGAATATTATCAAAAAGCTACTGTTTCTTTCCTTTGTGGGAGAGGAGGAAAATGGGACAAAACGAGATACCCCACCTGTCAGGGTAAGTAACACTGGCAGGCAAGATGCCTCTGGCAAGGTATGTATGAATGTAAGGGTAAATAACTCTGTCAGGGTTAGTAACACAGTTACGATAAGTAACACTATCAGGGTAAGCAACACTTCTACGGCAAGTAACACTATCAGGGTAAGAAACACTTCTACGATAAGTAACACTATCAGGGTAAGTAACACTTCTACGGCAAGTAACACTGTCAGGGTAAGCAACACTGTCAGAGTAAGTAACACCACTAGTGTAAGTAGAACTTCTAGGGTAAGTAACACTTCTAGGGTAAGTAACACTTCTAGGGTAAATATACTGTCAGGGTAGGTAACACTGGCAGGGTAAGTAACACTAGCAGGGTTAGTAACATCGTCAGGGTTAGTAACACTGTCAGGGTAGGTTACACTCTCAGGGTAGGTTACACTGTCAGGGTAGGTTACACTGTCAGGGTGAGTAACACTGTCAGGGTAGGTTACACTCTCAGGGTAAGTAACACTGTCAGAGTAAGTAACACTGTCAGGGTAACACTTCTGGGGTTGGTAACACCGTCAGGGTAGGTAACACTGTCAGGGTAAGTGAAACTGACAGGGTAAGTAACACTTCTAGGGTAAGTAACAATGTCAGGGTAAGTAACACGGGTAGGGTACGTAACACTTACAGGGTAGGTAACTCTGTTAAGGTAGGTTACACTGTCAGGGTAAGTTACACTGGTAGGGTAAATAACAATGGAAGGTTAAATAACACTGGTAGGGTAAGTAGCTCTGTTACTGTTAGTAACAGTCTCAGGGTAAGTGCCATTGTTACTATAAGTAACACTGGTAGGGTAAGTAACACTGTATCATCTTGGCGACGTTGGTTCAAAGGAAATATATATGTCGTCAAACATGGGCAACATATTACATGTCTTCTAAATATCTTCTATTGTTAATTAATTCTTTCTATTGCAGTGGTATACTGTGGGGCGCCGGATGCCATTGAGTTTGGTTTCGTGAAGAACTACAGTGGAGCTGTTACCTATGACAGTAAAGCTGTCTATGAATGCTTCAGTGGTTTCACAATGAAAGGGACACCGGAAGTGACGTGTAGTACATCCGGAAAGTGGATGACGCTACCCACGTGTGAATGTAAGTAACCTAAATATGTTAGCATAACCTTACTATGCAAGTATGTGTAAGGCCGCCTCCGTGATCTAGAGGCAGAGCGTCCACCTGGCGAGTGGAAGGTCCGAGGTTCGATCCCCGACCGCGTCATACCAAAAGACATTAAGTAAGTATCTGTAAGAATAACCTTGCTATGTAAGTATCTGTAAGAATAACCTTACATTGTAAGTATCTGTAAGAATAACCTTACTATGTAAGTATCTGTAAGAATAACCTTACTTTGTAAGTATATGTAAGAATAACCTTACTATGTAAGTATCTGTAAGAATTACCTTATTATGTAAGTATCTGTAAGAATATCCTTGCTACGTAAGTATCTGTATCAATTACCTTATTATCATAATATACCAGTTACTTTGTAGCAAGCTGTGGATCTACAAAAACATGGCCAGCTATTTGTTTTACTTTTCGGGTTTGCATTTAATTAAGGTATTCAACGTTAGCGTGCATTGAGTGGTCATTGAGTGGTCATAAGTTTCGGACATTTATGGAAATATTGTGTTAAAGTCTCAGTGTGTGGGTGGAGGTGGTGGGTGGAGGTGGGGGGTGGAGGGGGTTGCTAACAACAATGTGGGGTCGAAGATAGCTCTTTGCTTCAGCCACTTCCCTATTGTCCAACATCTTAATCCATAATATTTATATTCCAGACTTGTTTGTTTTTAGTAGAGAGTGTTGGAACATTTGACTGCGTGGTGTAGATGAAGGGTTCTATTATTGATATTTCTCTACTTTCTAATTAAACATCATAATCTTCTGACGCCACATAACAGGTCCACTTGTAACAATTTTCTACTCAGCTGCCACGTGTGGTGAAGTTCCTCCTGTGACGGATGCTACGTCCAAATTCATCACCAAAACAAATGCAACCTCCTACGGGGCAATCGTGGAATACACGTGCAATGCCGGCTATGAGATTAAAGGATCATCCCGCAGACTCTGCAACACCACCAACACGTGGACCAATACCGCCCCCACTTGTGAGAGTAAGTACAGAGTATAGCAATACCGCCCCCACTTGTGAGAGTAAGTACAGAGTATAGCAATACCGCCCCCACTTGTGAGAGTAAGTACGGAATTTATCAATACCGCCACCACTTGTGAGAGCAAGTAGGGATTATATCAATAACGCCATCGTTTGTGAGAGTAGGTACAAACCACATCAATACCGTCCCTACTTGTGAGAGTAAGTACAGACCGTATCAATACCACCCCACTTGTGACAGTAAGTACGGTGTATACGATACCACCTCGCATCTGTGAGTACGCACATACCATATCAATAGCTCCACACTTATCAGAGTAAATACACGCCACATCAATGACGTTGTAAAGAAGTATTTGGACCCCTATAGTATTTGGACCTTAGCCCGTACTACTATGACCCCGGTCCTTTTACGAAAAAAAAGAATCATAGTAATTGGACCCCCCCCCCCCCCCCGACCTAAATTGATTGGATTCCCATTGTAGTTTGATCAACAATTTGATTTAAACCAGCATAATGGTTAAAACGTCAGGCTCTGTTTAATGCTTTAACATATCCCAAGTTCCAATATCGCCAGGGCGACAGAACTCTGTACGTGACGGGTACTCATTTTATATTCGGGGAGGGTAGGGTGCAATGTTACACTGTGGTTTACAGCAGTGTCCTACTTCGTTCTCCTGATATAAGGACTTGATTGCAGGTGAATCTATATGTGGTGATGTAATTTTCCCCTTAGTTGCTGGACCGTCGTTGAATAAGTGAAGCAGCACATCACAGGCACCTGGTGTTTATCGACAAATAATTTTTAAAATTATAAAAAAAGCCTTGACAAGACTAGCATTGCTTTTTCCACTGCATATAATTTAAACACCAGGTGCTTGTGAAGGACATATATTATGTGCATTTAAATTATCTGTGCTAAGTTACCCAGTAGTATATGCCATGTTTTATCACTTGGTATCCATGTACAGCAAGACCGATAGACCCACTGTTGGTGGCATCATCAACAATCATGTTATATAAAAGTATCCACGCCGACGCTCCTCCTCATATCCGCGCGTCGGGGTACTGCCTTACACTTTCACTTGGGTATCAGTTCAAGTAACTACAACTACGTTTGCATTTTTGTTATTGAATGCATATTTATATTAAAGAAAGATACATGGTACGCACAAACCATCTCTATCTTGGTCAATTTTTAAAGCTGTAATTAGCTGTTCACATCTCGGACAAATGGACATTCATGTAACAAAAACTCCATTTGCATTTTTGTGAATGGATGCAAAATCATATGAAAGAAACACGAACCATCTCTGATCAGTCAATTGTAAAACTGGACACATTTCTGACAATGAAGTCGTCTAGAACAGCAGAATGTTCAGTACTTTAATTTGACGATTTCTTCAAATGAAACCTGATCACACAGCATGTTGAACAGATTTGCATTGATCTCCTTGCGTGCACATTCACAAATCCCTTTCAGAGCACCAACATTCTAGGAGGTATCTTGAAATTTCTTGATTATGATATCCTGACCAGGAATTTCTAGTAACTCCGCGTCCTTGAAGTTTTCGACTATGCAGGAGTGAAGGACATCATAGGAAACATATTTCCAGAACTTCCTTGAGGAGATGTACTTCTACTCTGAAAAATGGTCTTCTTTCCAAGGAATGGGTGCCAGTAATATCGATGCTTTTGACTGGCTGGGACCGTCGCTCATTTTCTCAAGATATATGACTTCTTAAGTCATGTTTCTTGTGTTTCCGAGAGGAGAATACACAAGCCACTCGAATGTTGGTTCTCAACTCTTCATTCGTACTCTGCTTTAGACATGGATTGATGTCTTCAGCATTGTAGTTGCGGAAATAATCTCGATCTTTGTTGCCCAAGTATCATCAAGATCCATTTCATTTCTGCTTATATACTCTTCTATTTGGGTAAGAGATATATCACCGAAACGATGTGCGTGGGACTCCATAAACTGTACAACAGAAGTTCGGACAATTCCTTCCAAAAACATCAATACTTAACGAACGAAAAAGGCAGCTTCTGTCACCTCGTATGCGAATAACATCCTCCGGTGATGCTTTTGAGAGCTTTCATTACGGAGTGTTTTGACACTCACACCAAACAAGCTTGCTCATTCCTTTTTGTCAGAATGGGCCAACTGGATAATAAAAAGGGGGTCCAGACCACAGTCGACCTGATTTTGTTTTGCTGATGCACGAGACGTTGTGGTATTGACATCCGGGAAGCTTTGTGTATCAGTAGGCTCCTCGACTTGACAACCTTGCTGAATATCATCAGACGGCTCTGATGACAACTTTCTTTTCTCGAATCGGAGCTTCGATTGCAGTTTTGTACTCTGGTGTGATTCTTGGGTGAAGAGTTTGCTCCTTTCTTCTGTAGTTGACTTGTCCTTTGCTAATTCCAATTCTTTCAAATTGCAACCATTGATTAAGTCCATGTCCATCTTACCTAATAGGCTAGCAGTCTCGGTCGAGTGCGCTGAAAATGCATCTATGGTTTCCGTAGGGGATAACCTACGACTCACAAAAAGGGTCAATTGGTCTATAGTGTGGGCATATTTGTCCTTAACCAATTTCTTTCTGTGCATCATTCCACTTTTTAAAGTTACTGAAATTAAGGAAACAGTCAAGCCATTCTGCAGCATGAGACGGATCGGATCATCTTAAACATTTTGTTCAAGAAAAAAACCGCAGTCCACCATATCGTAATTGCGTTTTGGGGGTAAACTGAGCCCTCCATGTCGTTATAGTCAAGGTAAGCCATAACTTATCAACTCACTTGGTCAGAATCAGGTCATTTGTAACGCAGGAAGTGGCGCTAAGGTGAATACCTGACAAGCACCCAGACTGTTAAACTTTGATGACGTTGATATAATTTAGCAAGGAACATTTACTCCTTTTAAAACAGGAGAGCATAGAATCAAAATGAGGCAACTATTTTGGACTGACGAGATGTAGGAAGAATAAATTGATTTGGTTCAACAACGGGCAGCCATTCTCGGGACCAAATATGCGTTTGTCTACCCTGACTCAGTCATTTCAGTAATTCCCGCCACAACGTTGACGGGTCCTGTCAAAAACTTTTATGAGTGTAAACACCCAACTTGGACCAAGAAAACTTGGTCAAGACAAACAGAGTGGCCTCGATCTTCCTCAGTCACTGCTAAAAGCGCGCACCACAGAGGTAGCGTCAGGGTATCTTTTTAAGGTGATTGAATCTTACCTTTATTTGTCGCATGTAATAAAGCCTTAACTTGAGTCGCTAACAGTTTGATCTGACCATAAATTCATGTGTGTCGTCATCGAAAAAATACCAAACCCGACGTGACCAATTGATCATATCTACATTAATTTTTGACTCACTCCTGATTCTACCTTTCTGCTGATTCATTACCTCATCGCCGTTAATGTGGAACCAATCCAGTAATAAATTTAAAATGTCCGGAAACACTCCGATGAAAATGTGAAATGTCATTTCTCTATTAATTCCTTTCTTACTGAAAGTTCTCTGTCACGAACTTTATATATGATGCAACTACATCATTACAGCTATCAACGGTTCGAATTCTTACAATTTTGTCACCATTTTCTAATGTTTTTAGATGCATTTTAACCTTATAACACACCTGTGACAGTTTAACAAAGAATGATAACAAATGTAGATTTAACATGCAACTGCCATAAGGGATTATATTCAAGTTCAAAAGAATAATATTGCGGTAGCCAGATTTACTACAAGAAGAAAGCCTGCTTGAGGAATTGTAGGATCTACGAGGTACTAGTAGGTTGGTATGCTGCAGCATCACGCTCTGTTCTCGTTGTATCACATTAACTTCAGATTTTAGGCTTGTGATGAATTATTTTCGACTTCTAAAACTTCACCTATTTTAAGGCTTCTCGTACTCATGCGAGTCTAAATTGTTTAATACGGACAAAGATTATACTCTTAGTATTTGTTAACCTTTTTCGGTCGCTTTGAGGGGGCCGACAAGATCCATGCCAATCTGTAAGAATGGACCGTCTTTCTCTTTGATGGGATACAATGGCAGTTTATCTTTTTTTAGGGAAGCAAGTCGCTGACAGTGGTGACATCTCGAAATAAACAGCTCAGTATCCTTATAGGCGCCTTTCCAGTTATAACGCTGCATGAGTTTGTGCCATCTGTGAACAGAATACAATATGACTTACCACCCGTTAATAAAACGGTATCATTTTAGTTTGAAATCTGTTACGGGTATGGGCATGCATTTTTAATTAGAAAAATTAAGCTTAACTTCGTGGCAAAATTAACTTGCCACAACTTCTTCACAAATTATTGATTTAAAGGTTCAGCTTGATTTTGTCTCGATATTTCTGTTTTACTCTATTGTCACATAAGAAAATATCCCAATGTTAATTTGAATTTTCTGCCCCGCTTTAATGTTATAATGGAAATTCTAAAACTAAATTCTCGAATGATTTCGTTAAAACGTTCGTCCGAGTTGATATTTTCATGCGCTACGGTGAAGTGGTCAAGCAAATCAGGCCCCAGAAGAATGAAAAAATCTTAGCTCAGCTCAATTTTTTAATGAAACCTATTTACTTCACAATGAGAAAAGGCATATTTTAGAGGTTTCCTTTTCGGAAACTATGTCAGACTTAAAATGTTTCCTAAACTACAACATCTGAAATTGAATGAAACCTTTACGAAAAGAGTAACTACCGTGGGAAAATGTGGCATTTAGCAAAGATTTGTCGTTTCATTTTCTCAGGACCAGGTAATCAATCTGAGATTCGACACCACTTTTTGAAATCATGGTAGAATCTACGATAAAGTGCAGTTTTCAATGACCTCACATTAGACTAATGCTGTTCAAATTGCCTTACTCGTAGACAGGCGTAACATAGATAACTGCTTTGTTTCAATGACGTCAGAATAGCCTGACGTCATAACGATGTCCAAATTGCCTCCCGCGTCAGAGACAGTTCAATTTGGCCCTCATTGAGATGAATCAGTTCACAGTAATGTTCTCGTCAAATTCGAATAAAAGCTCTGCACATCTGAGAAGAGAAATAAAGTATGCTCTTCCCCTCTTGTAGTGTAATAATGAGGATTTTTACCACTATTACACGTCAAAGTACTTGGTCGCAGGGCAAAAGTTTACTTTATTACACTACATAGAGGGAACGTCATAATATATTTATCAATGATTGTTATTAATGACAAGTTTGGACATAGCGTTTACATACAGTGTTCATTTTGTGTAATAACACGAATATAGCGTAGATTTAAAAGAACCTATACTATACACGTTGTTCTCCGTTTTCAGACAGCCCTTTCTGGCTGGAAATCATCTAAATACAACAAATATGACATAGAAAACAGTTAAACACAAACAGTTAAAATAGGTTGGAACTTTTATACTTGAAAAAGAAATATAGTTTGTAGTATGGTTTGATAATAAAAATGTAAAAATCATGTTAATGAAATCGAATTGTTCCAAAAATAGTTTCACGTCGCACTCAGCTATATTTCGGTTTATACACAGCGACTGCCAGATTTGAATGACCAGTTACATAAATAACGGACACGATTGGATTTCCAAATAATGACTTTTGATGTTTCTGACAAAAGGATAAATGAAAATATGGAAGCTGCGAAGATCTCATGATATTTATAGGTGTCACGCAAAAGCATGTGAACTAAACATGGTAATAATAGCAGATACAAGAAACGGAGAGACTCGTGGTTCTTTGAATTTGAAGACAAGGCTACACATAGCTTTAAATTATTTATCGGCACAGTTACTCGGTGTTTACACAGATATTAACAAGGCTATATAAAAAAGAACAATATTTCTCGGCATCGGCGCATCATTTCAAACCTTGCGCATTAGTCATTTTAAATCACTATTTAAAAATGTGTTTTCATTTTCCCGCATCATTTAGGTTGGCTACATTATCCGTAAATCGAAGCCCAGGTGTATTTTTCTGAAGATATAAAGCGAAATTTGTTCTTGGTGACCAAATTTAACATGTCTTCCCTCCTACCTCCTCCCTCACTTTAAAAAAATGCCCGATAAATTTTTTATTTGTTTTTGCACCCTAATATTCTGAAAATTTGATTTGAGAAAACAAATACATGTACACAGTACTGACAAAGATAATTATTTAGTTTTATTTAGTTAATTCGTTTTAAATAAGACTTTGACTTTATTTACCGATGTATGACCTCCTGGTCTTTCAAGTCATTGACGGTATACCGATAGTGACCAGTTATTTGTGTTGAATGACGGTCTTATGTATCAGCGCGTCCATCATTTATGTACTGGATAAAGGTTATGATATTTAAAACCCGCATCCCGAGGGATTTTCCGAGGGAAGGGGTTTTAAATATTATTACAACCCAGAGGGAAGTGTTTTATATTACTTATAAACCGATTTTGACCCTTAAAACAACATTTATCAACATTTTTTATGTTTCGAACATACTTTCCATTAACCTTAGGGCGTTAAATATCTGCTGCTGGCGTACGGATCTTGAAAAGGACATTCTAAAAAGCAGTGCGGCTTATCAACACCTCTGTAGTCTTGTCGTACTCTCACTGGGCTACAGATATGAAGGTTGCGAGTTCGATCCTCGGGAATACAAAGAAATCAATTGTCATTTGATTTTACATTTCATTACATGTTACAATCTGAACGGAACTCATATTAATAAAATACCCAGGATATTATATAAAATCCCTGAGATATTATAAAGAGGTTATAACGCGAGTGTGTTTTGGGATGGTTAATATCCTGCATTATGAATAAACATTGTATTTAGCGAGCCTTGGCGAGCTAAATACATAGTGTTTATTCATAATATGGGAATTGCGAGTTTTCCTGGAATGCGCGCATTAACATTTATTACGTCACAGGGTAAGTGATGTGTCAGTCGGACAGTGAAAGTAGCCAATATAGTTCCAACTGAAATCTGTTTTTTATCCAGTGGCGAAGCAACATATACGCAAAACAACAATTATTTTTAATTGGCTTTCGCGGCAATCCATCGTTCTGTCCGCTAGAGTAACTGCACTTAGTCAAAGGGAAGCAACTCTAACCCTAGTCTATGAGACGTCACGGTCAGACGTTGTTGACAGTCGGTCTGTCCTGTCATAACGTTAAGAAGTGTAGTCAGATGTACACACAGCGACAAAACGAAACAAGGTAACAATTCAAACATATTTCGGCCAAATCCAACTATTTTAATTTGTGGCTAAGGTTTCAAGCCGCAGAGGTCTACAAACACATATATGGCTACTGATCCCGCTTGGCTAGGCCTCGTGCCCTCGCAAAATTGTTTCGAAATTTATATCTCCAAAGTTGCCAAAACTAATAAAATGCCTTAGCTACGTCACAGTTAGACACGGATTTTCAGTATATTAGACTGTTCTTTTTTTATAATGATAGCAATTATCTCTGTAGTTTATCCAGATTCCCGTTGGTTAATTCTGACTCGATCGCCGAATGACAAGGGTGAAGCCATGTTTGTTTATAAACAGTGAAAGTAGTCCCTACTTGACCTTTGATATTTGCATCTCTATCCGCATATGACCCCAACGGATATCGTTTTTATCCGTTGGCTTTATCCTGCCGAGAAACCTACCCATTATATGATAAATCAATGTATATTTTATATCTGTTTGTCAGGGATAAAATGTCCTCTCCCACAAGTCCCAATGGCCTCGCTGAGCGTTGACAAGCCAGCAGATTTTGAGGACGAGATGACCTTGACGTGTTCCACTGGCTACTGGGCCTCCACAACAAACACAAGCACCGCCCTTCTTACCTGTAACGCGAACGGCGCAATTGATGACGTCACATGTGTGGGTATGTATCGAGGATACCATTACATTGTGAAAGTGTTACTGATGAAAACGACACAAAACATATTTGTGTTCACCCGTATAGTACTTACATGTGTATGCAAATATTCCAAAATGCACACAGGCACACACTCTTGAACGTATTGAAACAACATGCAAACCCACTGGATCAAAATCAGGGCACCAATGTTCGATAAGAAGTTGGATGTTCCCCTGAACAGAACTGTAAGGGAACTCTAGTCCTAAACCACTGTTACTATTGTTGAACTTACAGCATGTCATATATCACGTGTACAGAGATGTTGGTAGGACCAGCCTCCTATAAACAGGTGTTGGAGAGATCACTTGATATAGCAAGGGCGAACCTGGAGACAAGCTTTGAAGTGTTAGCAATAGCAGGGTGGGTAACTGTATAAGTATGGGGATTCCTCCGATTTGTTATTATTTTATTATGTGTGTGTGTGTGTGTGTGTGTGTGTGTGTGTGTGTGTGTGTGTGTGTGTGTGTGTGTTGCGAACGTATTGCCAGTCACTGGTTTGTTGTAGAACTACTCCTCTCTGCCGTGTTCAGTAAAGTCTGAAGCGCACAGAATGTGATAAAGCGGCACTTATCGACGCCATTCTAGTACTGTGTGGCGTGAACGTGTTCATCTCTGTACCACTCAACTGAAGCACCTAATCAAGCAATACACAGTATCTTTGCTTACACCATTATGCAGCTTTGTAGCTCAAACGGTAATTGCACACGCTGAGAGTAGGTATTCCAGCTCAAACGGTAATTGCACACGCTGAGAGTAGGTATTCGAGCTCAAACGGTAATTGCACCCGCTGAGAGTAGGTATTCCAGCTCAAACGGTAATTGTACACGCTGAGAGTAGGTATTCCAGCTCAAACGGTAATTGCACACGCTGAGAGTAGGTATTCCAGCTCAAACGGTAATTGCACACGCTGCAGAGAGTAGGTATTCCAGCTCAAACGGTAATTGCACACGCTGCAGAGAGTAGGTATTCCAGCTCAAACGGTAATTGCACACGCTGCAGAGAGTAGGTATTCCAGCTCAAACGGTAATTGCACACGCTGAGAGTAGGTATTCCAGCTCAAACGGTAATTGCACCCGCTGAGAGTAGGTATTCCAGCTCAAACGGTAATTGCACACGCTGAGAGTAGGTATTCCAGCTCAAACGGTAATTGCACACGCTGAGAGTAGGTATCCCATCTCAAACGGTAACTGTACACGCTGAGAGTAGGTATTCCAGCTCAAACAGTAATTGCACACGCTGAGAGTAGGTATTCCAGCTCAAACGGTAATTGCACCCGCTGAGAGTAGGTATTCCAGCTCAAACGGTAATTGCACACGCTGAGAGTAGGTATTCCAGCTCAAACGGTAATTGCACACGCTGAGAGTAGGTATCCCATCTCAAACGGTAACTGTACACGCTGAGAGTAGGTATTCCAGCTCAAACAGTAATTGCACACGCTGAGAGTAGGTATTCCAGCTCAAACGGTAATTGCACACGCTGCAGAGAGTAGGTATTCCAGCTCAAACAGTAATTGCACACGCTGAGAGTAGGTATTCCAGCTCAAACGGTAATTGCACACGCTGAGAGTAGGTATTCCAGCTCAAACAGTAATTGTACACGCTGAGAGTAGGTATTCCAGCTCAAACGGTAATTGCACAAGCTGAGAGTAGGTATTCCAGCTCAAACGGTAATTGCACACGCTGAGAGTAGGTATTCCCACCCAAGCCGTAATTACACACACTTTGAGCTAAAGAGCTTCGATTATAAGTCACTTCAATGTCAGAACATAATCGCCCGTGTCTGTTTCCTGCAAGGTTCGTTAACCCAAAGACTGGTTCGCTCCCATTACCACACATGATCAGGATCTACGTCATGATTTGTTTGACGTGTACACAGTGCTCTACAGGATGATGATGTGGATGTTTGTTGTTTAACGCCGCACTCAGCAATATTCCAGCTTTATGACGGCGGTCTGTAAGTAATCGAGTCTGGACCAGACAATCCAGTGGTTGACATCATGAAAATCGATCCAAGCAATTTGGATACGACGACATGCATCAACCAAGTCAGCCAGCCTGACCACTCGATCCCGTTAGTAGCCTCTTACGACAAGCATAGTAGCCTTTTACGACAAGCATGGGTTGCTGAAGACCTATTCTACCGCAGGACAGGATCTTGCATTTAGGCATGCAGGCCCTCCTGCTGAATGGGTATAAAAATCCACATCAACGGCTGTTTATACAGTCCTTATTACGGCAGTAGAGGCGCTGACAGAATGCCAAGACTGAATGCAGCTCAACGGAACAACGCCATTGGGAAATTACAAGCTGGAGCAACTCAGCAAGAAGTGGCCAGGCACTTTGGCGTATCCAGACAGACAATCTCCGCACTGTGGACCCGATACAACAACACCAACAGAGTTGACGATAGACCAAGGTCAGGAAGACCAAGGGTGAGAACCCAAGCACAAGATCTATACATCCGGCTGCGACACCTCCGAGACCGCACTACCACAGCCACGTCTACCACCACACAGAACCCTGGGGTACGCAAAATATCAGATCAAACGGTACGCAACAGACTGAGGGAGGCTGGACTTTTTGCACTAAGACCTGTTCGACGTCATGTATTGACCCTACGTCATCTGGCGGACCGTCTGCTTTGGTGCAAACAGAGGGTTAGATGGGCACGTGCAAGGTTGAAAAATGTACTGTTTACTGACGAGTCCCGTTTCCTACTCACACGTGCTGATGGGCGCGCACATGTCTACAGACGTCGAGGTGAACGTTACGCCCCCAACTGTGTGCAGCAGGTTGTCCCATTTGGCGGCGGGAGTGTCATGGTATGGGCCGGAATTCATCACGGTGGTAGGACGCCTCTCGTGCATGTGGCAGGTGCATTGACAGGTGTGCGCTACAGAGACTTGATCCTACAGCCTTACGTTCTTCCTCACGTCAACGTTCATGTCGGACAGTTCCAGCAGGAGAACGCTCGACCGCATATTCTTCGTGTTTGTCAGGACTTCTTACAGCACAGCAACATCCAGACATTGCCTTGGCCAGCCCGGTCAGCAGATTTGTCCCCGATTGAGCATCTGTGGGACGAGTTGGATCGACGCGTTCGCAGAAGGAATCCACCGCCCAGAACGCTTCCGGCGCGTCTTGATGCACTTCAGCATGAATGGCAGCACATCCAACAGCGAGTTATTGACAACTTGATTGCATCTATGGGTCGTCGGTGTCAAGCGGTGATTGATGCACTTGGTGGGCACAACCGATACTGATACTGACCGATTCTGTGCCCCTGTGCCATTAACTGTATCGTGTACGTGTGTCTGTCTAGGTGACACGATTAATGTTTTGAACATTGTACATGTGTACATTGATCTTCAAACAGTGTTTCAATCATGGTTTCTGTGTCCTATTTTGAACCAATCGCATTATATTACATTTTGAAAGTCAGTGTCAAGTTTCTTTTTTTGAAGAGTATATATATATATATATATATAAATATATACACACATATACAATACATATAAACATATATCTCACTGTACATAGTATCCACTGCACTCGGCATTTTGTCTCAAAATGTGTGAACATATGTTTCCTTACTTGTTCACTACTTGTACACACCTTCGTAGCTCCAATGAAATATGTTTAATAATAACGCTAACATGTATATTTGCTACTTACAACTTCACCCCAAGTAACACTGCATGAGTTGCAAAGTTGCCATGTAAATATCTGGGTAATTTTTGTTTTGTTTCTTAAGTTTAACATTACCTGTTAATAAAAAGCAGATGACAATAAAACCGATCGCTTAAACGCATCACGGCAGCGGCCATGGTAACCCGATGCACGTGAATTCCGTGCAAATTGAAATGCACATGCGTTCCCCATTTCGTGCCCTATAAAAATCCACCCAGATCGGATAACATTCATTCGTTATTGAATTGCTACCACATCAGCTAAGAAATCAGCTACTCCAAGCCCTTGGACGATTGCAGGCTGGACAAACCGCCCGGCAAGTAGCCAATGCATTTCAAGTCCCTGTAAGGACCATATACAGGCTCCAGCAACGGTACCAGACCACCAACACTGCAGATGACCGACCACGTAGTTGAAGACCAAGGGTCACCACCCGACGTCAGCATCGTCAGATTGTGACACAGCATCTTCAAGATCGCTTTGTTACTGCTGCGGAAACTGCCCGACAGACCATGGGAACACACCAGCGATATATTAGTGCGGACACCGTGCGTCGACGATTGACGAGCAGACACCTCCACTGTCACAGGCCACACCGAGGACCCATTCTGACACCACGTAATCGCAGGGACCGTCTTAAGTGGGCAACACAGCACCACCATTGGCACCACCAGCAGTGGAGAGTCGTTACTGTATTTCAACAGCAGATGGCAGAGAGAGAGAGAGTCTGGCGACGCCGTGGGAAACATTATTCGGATGCGTGTGTTGTTGAGAGAGAATGGTGGAGTGATCCGAGCATCATGGTCCGGGGTGGAATTGGTCTTGCGCAGGGGGCCGGCCCTGTGGTCTTCCAGAACTTGGTCCAGGGAGAGGCAATGGTGTCACCGCATCTCGGTACATTGATCAAGTCTTGAGATTACATGCCATACCTCATTTGGCACGTCGCCGCAACCACGAGTTTCAGCATGATAACGGCCGTGCCCACACTGCGAGAGCAACAAGAGACTTCCTCCAGCAGAATGGCATCAGAACCATGCAGTGGCCTGCCCTCAGTCCCGATTTATATCCCATTGAGCACCCGTGGGACGAGATTCAAAGACGGCTGAATGCCGTCCGGCCAAGGCCGACGACTGCACCTGAACTGCGTCAGGCGTTCCTCAGAGTGTGTGCTCAAGTGCCTTTGGCCTTCATCAACCGTCTCATCCATTCCATGTAACGTTAACGCTTTGGTAAAAAGAACTATAATGACAAATCAAGAAACATGATCTGTCACTGTCTGGCACTGCACTGCTAATCTTTCCTAATTACAGAGCTCAACGAGCTTGACAGTAGATATGAAATTTGACAAGCAGGCCATGCATATTTAATCCAGTTAGTTTTGAATGTGAAATCTGCCTGGACATTATTCCAATTGCATGGTGCAGTAGCTGGTCATCCAGAGAGTGGCAGACTCATTTCAAGACATGCGCAAAGACTCATGTTCTCTTAAATTTACAGAACGTATGCAAGTGTTGTCAGTTCTCAGCTCTGCAAAGAAGACTCCAAGTCTTGATGATGAGTTAAGAGCACCACTCATCCCTCACCAGAGTATATCAGTACCTTCGGACAAAGATTGATACATTTACTTTCTTCCTTATTGCGGAGCAGCATACAATGTGATAAAACTGTGTTTAATCATTGGAACCTTCATCAAGCATATGCATTCATAAAGCATACTGCAACAAGACACCTAGGAATTCTGGAACAAGAACGCAGTGAAAATGTATATACACACATTTGCGGAAACACATAACATTTTCGTCTCTTATATTCCTATACATGTTTTCATGTGATGTCATTTTTTATTCAAAGATAATATTCATATTCATTGCCTTTTTCGAAACAACATAATTTCATGTGTGACCTGTTCACTTCAGATGCAAATGAGTGTACTGGTTCTTCTTGTGATTCCTCCTCCCAGAGGTGTGAGAACACTGTCGGCTCCTACAGGTGTGTGTGCAGGCAGGGCTACAGGCCTGGGGACAGAATACCATGTGAAGGTTCGTGCACATTTAGGAATGTACATATTTTAGTTACTCCACTGAAAACTTTTTAGCACATAACTATTTGTGTGTTCATTTTTCTAGTTTTCTATGTCCTTAACCGAATGTGTTACCATTAACTACAAGTCATAACATGTGACGTGTGTTGGAAGGTGTCCTAGTGTCCATAGTCCTACAGATCAAATGTCCTAGTGCTGCTAAAACAATACAAGTACGAGCCTGGGAGCCCAAGTCCTATCTGTGTGGCCCTGCTATACTATGTACACCATGTCGCAGTCGTTGAGTACCATTATCAACGTCAACACTGACACAGTGTTACATTATCATCATTTAGCCCTTATCGTATTAGCCATTAGTAGTTAGGTAGTGGTCTTTAATAACACATGTAACAGTGTCTTCCTCCCCATCGTACTTGTCAGATATCAACGAGTGCAGTGACGGTAACGGCGGCTGCCAACACAACTGTCAGAACACTCCCTCGGGATCCTACACCTGTACCTGCAACCCCGGATTCAAACTGTTTCAAAATGGAACCAACTTGGTGTACATCGTGGAGGGCGAGACAGGCCTCAGGCGACAAGACGTGTACCGTGTTGGCCACTCCTGTGTCCGTAAGTAGCTTCTCTGGCTGTCCACGCAACGCTCGATCGTGATTGGAGGAATCACAATATGGGAGCAATGGAAGATTCACACGATTTATTAATGCATCTGATGGTCATGCATCGATAGAGAGTTAGTTCAATACTTTTCAGCAATGGTGTCCTGTGTTAACAAAAAATATTGCTTGACGTTATATAGTATTGCTGAAGAATATACAGTATTGCTTGACGTTATAAAGTATTGCTTGAAGTTATGAAGTTTCTGGACGTTTCTGGATTTTTACTTTTCAATGTGTTGGATCTAATACCCAATGTCATTGAAAAAGTGATATTAAGAAAATGTTAATAGTTTATGTATAGCAATATGATAAAATTAATTCCATTAATTCACTCGAAATGTCTGCTGATCACCATATTTCAGAAAACATGTACAAGTGATATCAGCAATGGCGTCATACACACTCCCTTTTATATATCCACATCATCCGTGTTTTAGGGAACACATGCCCTCGACCAAGTAATATCAGCAATGGCGTCATACACACTTTGAAGCAGACCTTCTTCTACGAGGATGAGATCATGTACAGCTGCAAGCTGGGCTTCTCCTTGGGTGGCAATGAGAAGAGGACATGTCAAGCATCTGGCAACTGGTCTGGATCTGATCCTACTTGCAGTGGTGAGTAGTTGGTATAGCTGTCTCTGCACCAAAATAGTCAGCTAAAATACTGACATAGAAACCCTGATGATTGACTAAAATATATCTGTATAGGGTAGAAGTGTTTTAATGTGTGCGAACATTTTGAAATAGAACTGCTGATGATAGTCTAAAATATTACTGTTTATGGTAGTTTATTGTACAGGTAAGTTCATTCTCATCCTTAATTGTGTAGATTGATGCTCATGATGTCAATCACTGGATTAAATTATCCAGACACGATTATTTACAAACCGCCGTCATATACCTGGAATATTGCTGAATGCGGCGTTAAACAACAAACAACCAACCATCTAAACTTACAGCTCATCATCATGACCATCAATATCATCAGCATCTTTATTCAGCATGGGTGTAGGCCATCGGCCCATACAGCATCAGTTACAATGCAGCAACTAGCAGTCTTTGTGTGTCATATGGACACTTTTGTATCTTAATTGCATTGCATAGAATATAAACATTGCCAAATGTCTAACAATATCAATGTTATCAACAGACATTACTACATTATATTTAACGCGGGATGAAAATAGTATTTTTTAGGAAGATACATTTGACGCAGATCTGAATAAGGCTCACAAACAAGCAAAAAGTGCTAATCATTTTCTATATATCCAAAATTTAAAGAGAGTATATAAAGAAGATTTAAACTGTGACAAGGACAATGGTTTTAGTACCACCTGTTAGTGAGGCATGTCAGTCTTGTTCATTTATTCATTTCAATCGAATCATTAACTCTGTTATAAAAGGCTGTATCTGCTGATTTTCCAAAATTTCACCAAAACCTATCCCAAACAACAATTGTTTTGAGTTTTAAAACCAAATTATTTTTACCTTGAGCCATGTCCAACAGCATCATGTTAAAACATTTTGGGGGCAAACGTAATTATATCCTACATAAAATAAAACGAAACGTGATTACCCGATTCTCCTCAGTCCTCAGTTTACCGATCCAACACAGTGATGCACAGTCTTGTAAAATATTGGACAAAATTCAGATTCCAGATTTAAAGTTTATTACTTCTGCGCACGTCAGTGTGCCTGTACACGCCAACCTATGCATCGATGTATTTGGTGAAGTCTTCAAAACAAAAGAGTTACTCCTTGTGCAATGAGGAAAACACAGACATAAAAAATAGTATAAATCTGAGTCATCCAAACAAAGCACAATATTAATATATTCTTCAAACAAAAAAACGCAATGCGGAGATTTTTGGCCATAAAAGCAACCTTAGCGGACCAGAGGTGCAAAATGAAGAGGTTTAATGTGTGATAGTGTCAGTGACAAATTGCCCGGATCAAAATGATCGCAAGGACATGCAAACCATTTGTAGGGGATCGCGCACGATTCGGAAAAAAACCGCACGCAGTGCATTAACAAAAGGTCTTGGAGCTGAACGTACTGAGAGTGCAGCAACACTATGAACGGTATTAAAGTGCAGGTTTTTTTATTTTCTGGCATCTACGTCAATCGAACAGTTTCAACAGTTCAACAGCATGCCAAGATTAACAGAAGTGCAAAGAAACCACGTCATAGGCCGCTTGCAGGCAGGGGAATCCAGATCAGCTGTAGCCATGGTTTTCAATGTAGCGCCCAGCACCATCACAAGGCTATGGGACGACCAAGAGTAACCACCCCCGCCCAAGATTACTACATCCGATTGTGCTACCTACGTGAAAGGACGACCACAGCCAGCTCAACCGCATCCTAAATACCCGGACTGCGCAGAATCTTCGACCACACAGTACGAAACCGTTTCAGAGCAGCAGATCTACGAGCAAGACGTCCTATTCGACGCGTCACATTGAGTTGACTACATCATCAACAACGACTGCCTTGGTGTCGTCAACACAGGGTATGGCCTCGACTGTGATGGAGAGATTTCTGGTTCAGCGACGAATCAAGAATTCTCCTCCGTCGAGTTGATGGAAGAGCACTGGTCTGTAGACGTCGGGGAGAACGTTCAGCCGAAAACAGCGAAAAGGAAGTGGACAGGTTTTGTGGGGGTAGCCTTATGATGTGGGCGGCTATCTCTCATCATGGCAGGATAGGTTCGGTCCTTATCCAGGGCAATCTTACTACTCAACGATACATCAACGAAATTATCCTACCACACGCCCACCCAATTGCAGCCAACGGCAACGGTGTATTCCAGTAGGACAACGCTCGACCGCATACGCACGGATCACAAGAGCCTGTCTACACAACAACGTTGATGTTCTCCCCTGGCCCTCCAGACCCCCCGAATTTGAACCCGATAGTGCATCTGTGGGATGAATTGGATAGACAGCTACGCCGACGTCAACCGCATCCGCAGACTTGACAGCAGTTGGCTTTTGCGTTGCAGGCCGAGTTGGCTACCATTCACCAGGATGTGATTCGCATATTCGTCTCTTCCATGGGCAGGATATGTCAGGCCGCTTTCGATTCCATCGGGGGACATACGCGTTATTGATGGTAGCTGACCTTCATCTTAGACTTTTCCTATGTACCCATAAATGAGATGACTACAATCACCAAGTGTTCTCTCCACAACATTTTGGCTCAATACCTTGTACAGTTCCTCTTATAAAGGAATGTATTTTCCTACCTCGCACAAATCTGGCTTTGCGTTTCTATTTTTTAGAAGAGTATATTATCCCTGTACAGCAAATTTCGACAAAAGCCTACGTAGAGATTCTACGTGCGCATCATACAATTTACACGTGTTTTTTTATGCCACATAACACCTGTTTCACATAATAGAAATATACAAAAAAAACGAAATAATTGAAAAACTTACAGATTCGACCTGATATCTGATGCAATGCTAAAAACCAATGTGGGGAACCCACGAAACCAATGTCTCTGTTGCAACAGATAAACGTAGACGAACGTTCTGAAACTAGCGCATGATTGCAAACCACTAAATAAAATATTCCTGGCAACGGCACACTGCAATATTTAATACGACGTTTATAAGAATAAATGTAAATTGGGTATCTTTGGACATTTTAACACAAAGAAAAGACCATATTAACAATTTCTAGTTTTAAATTACAATCGATACCCATGTCCCATGACCCAGCACGTTGCACCAGAATTGGATGGACTATGCCATCAAAATCATTGAAGAAAACATCAAATGGCATAGGTTTAAGTTTTGTGAAACTTCTTAAAATACCAAATAATGACATGGTTGGAAAATATGACTAAGTAGTTATTCCAAGATATATTTCTATAGAAGGTTATGTTTAAATATTTATACCAGGCAAAACATCTAATAAGAGTTTTCCTAAAATACCACATCTCCCACGAGGAAGGACACCTAATTTCATTAAAACAACAATTTACATATATCTAGATTAACTCAAAGATTTTTTTTATTACAGTATTCCTGTAATGCGTCTTTGAAGACCTGTTCCAGAATCAGATATACAAACCACATCATCGGCAAATAACAATAAAGATGGCATAAATCAGGATGTACCCGAACAACAGAAACTTTCTAGTGTGTCGGCCAAATCATTTATAAATACTGAAAACAAAAAGGGACTCAATACACTTCCCTGACGGACTCCGGAAAAAGACCATCAACTTTTAAACATTATTTAACTGATTCATAAATAGCCTTAAGACAGTGTAACATTTTTGGGGAGACTCCTTTCTGTTCTAGGGCGCACCATAATTTAGAACTATTAACCACATCGAATGCACCAGACAAGTCAACAAAAGAGGAATAAACGCCCTCTTTCTTCCCCAAAAGGCGATGAATTACATTCTGCAATATAATTGCATTATCCACGGCAGCATAACTATGGCGAAAACCAGCCTGTGATTCTAAAACTTTTTCATAAACACCACACCAAAGGTTTAGTCTTGTATTCAAGACCGATATATTAAGCCTGCTTAAGTATACGTCTCCATGGTTATTTGTAAATCTCCTTTTTTATGTGATGGGACAATCAAACCAACAGACCAAGATGTAGGGAAACCACCTCTATCGAACAACCTGTTGAATGTAAATGTGAGAAAAGGCAACAGAACATTTTTGTGAATGTTTCAAGAACTCGTCAATTACGTTGAATGTTTCAAGAACTCGGCAATTACATTATCATATCCTGTTGATTTTTTAACTTGAGCTAATTCAAACTATTTTTAATTTTATCTTGAGATAGAGGAATCCAAAATTTCTGCATTAAATGAGTCAATATTGTGAGTACAATATCCGAAAATATTAATATAATCAGATTCATAGTTATATATACTATGGAAATAGGTCTACCATTCCTGAAATGTATTATTAGATTTGATAACAGCTGATGTACCCCTAAAACTACAGTTTACCACACGACTTACTATTATATAGATTAGCCATTAATTTTTGCCAAATTCTATATCTTCACATGCAAAAGAAACGCAAGTAGTTTTAAGCAAATAGGTAACACACACGAAACCATAAACTGATGCGAGTTTTAGCATGTAGTAAAGCCAGATGGTGTTATCAATATTTTTTGTTGCATTTTGGAAGCTACGAGTAAAAACGCATCATAAGAAACGAATCGCCAAAACGCACCATTTCAGTGAATATGTTGGTATCATGCACCCATTTCTCGCGAAATCGAAAATGCACGAACTGTCACGGACTGTAATGGGTATAAAACTGTGGCCGATTCTTGTACCTACCACTCCTTGGTCAACAATGCCACGCCTAACTCAAATTCAGAGAAACCAGGCTATCGGACGTTTGGAAGCTGGGGAGTCTGTCTAAGATGTTGCCCGTCATTGCCCGTAACCACAATTTACCGTCTCCTGCATCGATACAATGCTACACAGACCACAGATGACCTTCCTCGGAGCGGTCGTCCTAGGGTCACCACACCTCGACAAGATCGGCAGATTACCCGTCAACACCAGCGACATCCGTTCCTAACTGCAAGTGAAAGTTCTCGACAGACCACAGGAACACATATTCGACACATTAGCCGGGACACTGTGATCTGACGTCTCCGTTCCAACAACCTCAGATGTCGCCGACCAGCACGCCGTCCTGCTCTCCAACAACGGCATCGACAAGCACGATTTCAGTGGGCACAGGGTCGTCACAACTGGAGTCATCGTGAGTGCAGGCGTGTGATGAAAGTCTCTTTTGTGTCTCCCATGCAGACGGAAGAGTCAGAATTTGGCGGCGTCGAGGTGATCGTTTCGCTTACAGAAACGTTGTGGAAAGGGATCCATGGGGTGGACCTAGTGTCATGATATAGGCAGGGATTGGACTTAATGCGAGACTTGGACCTATGTGCTTGCTGAATGTTGGTCAAGGTCGGGGACACGTGATCAGACCCCACGTTGTTCCATTTTTTGCACAACATCAACAACACATTTCCAGCAGTTCAACGCTCGTCCCCATGTTGCCAGAGCTACCATGGCCTTTCTGCAACAACACAATATCCGTGTTCTACCGTGGCCAGCCCTCAGCCCTGAACCGAACCCCATCGAACACTTGGGGGATGAGGTTCAAAGGCGTCTGCACAATGTGCACCCAGTCCCTACTACTGCCGATGAACTACGCGCAGCTGCTCTGGATGTGTGCAGGAGGATCCCTAGGGCCTTCACAAATCGTCTGATCCACTCAATGTACAGGAGATGTGTGGCAGTGATCAATGCTAATGGTGGTCACACCAGGCATTGACTGACATTTTGGGTATTGACCCGAAACTGTGTAAGCCCTTAACATTTGAAAAAAACAATTATGTCAACTGCCTTTTAATCTATCAAAGTGTCTTAAGTCAAATTTTTGTCAATCTTGCCCTATTAGTTTTTCTTGTCTTTACTGTTGAAAATAAATAACATGTATACTGCATACTCTACTTGCGTTTCTTTTGCGTGTGAGTATAGATACACATGCGCCTTTTTCTCTTACAGTAGACAATACTGTTAAGAATATAACATATTTTCTAAACAGTTTAATAATGATAAGTCTATCACGATCTTAGCAAACGTAAATATTCACAATCCTTGATCAGTCCATGTTTGTGATCCATGACAATAGGCGACAATATAAGAAAGAGAATGGTACAATTAATATCAGTCATCATTGCCTCTTTTTCTAAAAAACTAATTATATTATCTGAAAATAATGTTTCCCTGAACAGTTCAGCCTTTATAGACGGTAGACAATATCCTTACATCAGCAATGTGATACTGTATATCTGTTTCTCCTCTCATCCTCACAGCTACCACATGTCCAGAACAGACAAAACAGGGAACTGACGTCCAGAAGAAGAGGGTTGTTCGCATTCATCCGAATACTACAGTGGCGTTCAAGGAGAAGGTGGTTGTAGAGTGTAGGAAGGAGGATGACTCCACCTTCAACAAGACCCTCTACTGTGCTTATGACAGCAAGACGAAGAATTATACCTTACAAGGCGACTCACCTATCTGCCCAGGTGAGATATAGCATTACAGTGAGAAGAACCCATATACCTTACAAGGTGACTCACCTATCTGTTCAGGTGGGATGGAGTATAGTATATGTTTTTGCTGCGAAACGTCAGTGAAATCGGCGGTTGTCTGTAACCTTTGGCAATTGGACAAAGTTGAGGCACGGCAGTGACCAAATACTAGCAGATAAAGGGCTTAACACCAAAATCCTTCCATGAAATGATAAGTACAACACTAAGAAAGGATGCCCCTTCCTATGCCAACGGTAAGAGTGGAGCAATGGAGACGACCCCGTCCTGGTAGGCCTGTGACGTCAGCAACACCAGATCCCGAGAATCCATAATGTCGTGATGACCGACTGGCGAATGACCCGTCATATTGTTAGTCCAATAGGCATTTCCCATGAGAAAATATATTGTATAATCACATCAACTTTGGCACAGAAACAAGTATAAGCACACTGGGTTCCAAAGCAACAGGCACAATTTGCCCCGTGATAATCTATCTATCTCTGTTTGTGAAGCTGATCCAGGTAGGTTCTCGCAACGATTTGTGACTGTGGATGAAACCTGGGTTCACCACCACCAACAAACAAAGCAGTGGAAACATTTGACATAACCACCACCAAAGGAGGCAAAGACTGTACCATCAACTGGCCTCCAGTGTCTTCGTAGTGGACCATCTTCCAAAAGACCAGACTATAAACGGAGCATACTATGCTGCACATTTGAGACAAGTGTGAAATTAAGACGTAGGAAACTGAAAAGAAATGTGCTCTTCCATCAGAACCTGTGCACAATCTACGAGGGTGGCTTTGAACTCCTCACGCACGCACCTTATTCTCCTGATCCAGCGATGAGGTCATAGCAGCTGTTGAGAACGTGTATGGATAGCCAAGAGAAGGTCTTCTACGAAACTGGGGATACAGTAGCTCTTATATCGTTGGCAAAAGTACATAAATATGGAAGGGGATTGTCTTTGCAGCAAATCATTTTAATGTTTTTAGGTCAAGTGTTTCAATATGAGGCTCAGGATTTATAAACCCCGTATGTTCTGTGATGCAACCATTACAGATCTTTTTTGCAATCATCAACCGAGACATGTCGGTTTCAGCCTTTGGCGTCTACAGATCACCAGATTTAAGATACAATCGATCATGTTCTTTCTAGGAAGGTTCGAGAGAGCGTCATACTACAGTTGCTCTTAAAGTTGTTTGGGACGGTCGGGTAGCCTAGTGGTTAAAGCGTTCGCTCTTCACGCCGGGGACCTGGGTTCGATTCCCGGCATGGATACAATGTGTGAAGTCCATTTCTGATATTCCCGCTGGAATATTGCTAAAAGCGGCGTAAAACTGCTAAAAGCGGCGTAAAACTCTACGCACTCACTCACTCATTCACTCTAGCCTATCCAGGTAGTAATGTAATTCACTGATGGTACTTTTGATTGTACCCTGGCCAAGTGGATAGTGCCCCATGCTTTTGATCACTAAATTATTTACAAACTGGGAGGGGGAAGTGGGGGTTAGCCTAGTGGTAAAAGCGTTCTGTCGTCCCGCCGAAGATTCCCGACATGGGTACAATGTGTGAAGCCTATTTCTGGTGCCACCCGCCGTGATATTGCTGTAATATTGCTAAAAAGCTGCGTAAAACCGAACTCATTCACCAACTCACTTACGTGTTGTTTACAACACGTAAGCTCTAACATCAAGTAAAGCTCTCTGCTATCTTCACTGTATTTCATAGTGATTCATAAATACATGCTTATGATATAGTCGGAATCCTAAAATGAACGTTTAACACGGATATGTGATGATTTTGGAAGGATTTCGTATATTTGTATACAGCTAAATACTGAGATGAAAGTGGAAATTAATTAAGAACCTGTTCACGCGAATAATTGTGAAGTGATGGTGATGACACCAAGTGTTCCGAAATTACAGTGAAGTAATGACAATGACATCAAGTGTTCCGAAATTACAGTGAAGTAATGACAATGACATCAAGTGTTCCGAAATTACAGTGAAGTAATGACAATGACATCAAGTGTTCCGAAATTACAGTGAAGTAATGACAATGACATCAAGTGCTCGGAAATTACAGTGAAGTAATGACAATGACATCAAGTGCTCGGAAATTACAGTGAAGTAATGACAATGACATCAAGTGCTCGGAAATAACAGTGAAGTAATGACAATGACATCAAGTGCTCGGAAATTACAGTGAAGTAATGACAATGACATCAAGTGCTCGGAAATAACAGTGAAGTAATGACAATGACATCAAGTGTTCGGAAATTACAGTGAAGTAATGACAATGACATCAAGTGCTCGGAAATTACAGTGAAGTAATGACAAGGACATCATGTGGTCGCAAATCACTGAATATCTTGCCCTCTTAGTGGTGAGAGCAGTTCAAGTCAACATTTGGCTTCGATCATGTCAAGGGGATAGTTCTCTCGAAAGAAAACGTGAAAAAATACATGTATGCATGTTTATTCATGTTTCAGTTGTTGACTGTGGACCTGTGGAAGACATCGCTGGATTTCGGAAACCAGACGTAGCTACGATAGGATCAACGTTCGGGAAATCCTTTGAGTTCAGCTGCAGTACAGGGGCGACAGCATCAGGAATATCGACTGACAATAACAACACTGTGAGGTGTTTGCAAAACGGTCGGTGGGGGTTTGGTAATCTCACCTGCAAAGGTAAGTTCTCCCTACTGATGCCTAAATGAATATAGTCATACACAATCATACCTATGGAATTCAGACAAATTTGTTTCTCTGGTGTTGGCGTTATGAGTTCTTTATAAAAATTGCAAATATCTTGGGATAAAAATAAACCTGTACAAGTTAAAAAATCTGTTTTTTAGTGAGCAGTCGTGGTCTATTATATTTCTAACTGCCTGATTCGTATATGTTTTCGTGATTGTTCATTAGTGGAATACGCATGGGGCTAAAAGTGTCCCCCGAGATCCAGTAGTTCTTACCTAGGCACAATGCATCTGATTGTCTTATTTGATTTATCAGCTGCGAAGTGCCCGGATCCAGGCACCCCCGGGGGATCGGAGCAGATGTTTGACAGCTACGAGCAGGAGAAGATTGTGGCTTACAGGTGCACAAGACCTGGATTCACACCTGATCCTGCTGACAACCGTACCTGTGTCTACTCAAACGCCACCAGGTCGGCATCCTGGAGTGGAAGTGTTCCTGTTTGTGAAGGTAATCACTGAGTGGCAGTGTTCCTGTATGTGAAGGTGATCATTGAGTGGAAGTGTTCCTGTATGTGAAGGTAATCACTGAGTGGAAGTGTTCCTGTATGTGAAGGTAATCACTGAGTGGAAGTGTTCCTGTATGTGAAGGTAATCACTGAGTGGAAGTGTTCCTGTATGTGAAGGTGATCACTGAGTGGAAGTGTTCCTGTATGTGAAGGTAATCACTGAGTGGAAGTGTTCCTGTATGTGAAGGTAATCACAGGAAGGAAGTGTTCCTGTTTGTGAAGGTAATCACTGAGTGGAAGTGTTCCTGGATGTGAAGGTAATCACTGGTTGGAAGTGTTCCTGGATGTGAAGGTAATCACTGAGTGGAAGTGTTCCTGTATGTGAAGGTAATCACTGGTTGGAAGTGTTCCTGTATGTGAAGGTAATCACTGAGAGGAAGTGTTCCTGTATGTGAAGGTAATCACTGAGAGGAAGTGTTCCTGTATGTGAAGGTAATCACTTGATGGAAGTGTCCCTGTATGTGAAGGTAATCACTGGGTGGAAGTGTTCCTGTATGTGAAGGTAATCACTGGTTGGAAGTGTTCCTGTATGTGAAGGTAATCACTGAGTGGAAGTGTTCCTGTATGTGAAGGTATTCACTGGGTGGAAGTGTTCCTGTATGTGAAGGTAATCACTGGTTGGAAGTGTTCCTGTATGTGAAGGTAATCACTGAGTGGAAGTGTTCCTGTATGTGAAGGTAATCACTGGTTGGAAGTGTTCCTGTATGTGAAGGTAATCACTGAGTGGAAGTGTTCCTGTATGTGAAGGTAATCACTGGGTGGAAGTGTCCTATATGTGAAGGTAATCACTTGATGGAAGTGTTCCTGTATGTGAAGGTAATCACTTGATGGAAGTGTTCCTGTATGTGAAGGTAATCACTTGATGGAAGTGTTCCTGTATGTGAAGGTGATCACTTGATGGAAGTGTTCCTGTATGTGAAGGTAATCACTTGGTGGAAGTGTCCTATATGTGAAGGTAATCACTTGATGGAAGTGTTCCTGGATGTGAAGGTAATCACTTGATGGAAGTGTTCCTGTATGTGAAGGTAATCACTTGATGGAAGTGTTCCTGTATGTGAAGGTAATCACTTGATGGAAGTGTTCCTGTATGTGAAGGTAATCACTTGATGGAAGTGTTCCTGTATGTGAAGGTAATCACTTGATGGAAGTGTTCCTGTATGTGAAGGTGATCACTGGATGGAAGTATTCCTGTTTGTGAAGGTAATCACTTGATGGAAGTGTCCTATATGTGAAGGTAATCACTGGATGGAAGTGTCCTATATGTGAAGGTAATCACTTGATGGAAGTGTTCCTGTATGTGAAGGTGATCACTGGATGGAAGTATTCCTGTTTGTGAAGGTAATCACTTGATGGAAGTGTCCTATATGTGAAGGTAATCACTGGATGGAAGTATTCCTGTATGTGAAGGTGATCACTGGATGGAAGTATTCCTGTTTGTGAAGGTAATCACTTGATGGAAGTGTCCTATATGTGAAGGTAATCACTGGATGGAAGTATTCCTGTATGTGGAGGTTTCCACTGTGTTGAAGTGTTCCCGTATTTGAAGGTATTCACTTGGTGGACGTGTTGCTATATGTGAAAGTAATGTCACTATAATCAAGTATATTTCCATCAGTGTGGAAAAAAAGCAAACGTTATGCCATTATTTAAGAAAGGTGATCACACTATCATTTCTAATTATAGACCGATATCACTCATTAGCTGTTTGGGAAAATTGTTTAGGAGAGTTGTGTTCAAACATTTATATAATTTCTTTCATGAGAACAAATTGTTGCATAAGTACCAATCTGGGTTCCAGGCTGGTCACTCAACTGTCCATCAACTAATAGAACTTTATCACCAAATTTGTACAGCGTTAGATAACAAAGAAATCTATTGTTTTGTATTTTGTGATGTATCAAACGTCTTTGATCGTGTATGGCACACTGGGCTTGTGTATACATTTGAGAGGTATGGTATAAAAGGCCAATTGTTGAAATGGGTTACCAGTTACATAAGTAATCGTAGCCAAAGCGTATTTGTGAATGGGGAAATATCCAAACCAAGACATTTGAAGGCTGGCGTGCCACAGGGGTCCGTGCATGGTCCTTTACTCTTTATTGTTTATGTAAATGACATTGCTGATAAATCAGACTGTATGACAAGACTGTTTGCCGACGATACATCGATTGGCATGTCATCCAATGATAACAGTGTACTGAACCGTTCCTTAAGCCCAAATTTAGCAATCTTTAGTGAATGGCCGAAACTTTGGCTGATAACTTACAATCCCGAAAAGACTAAATCTGTTCTATTCTCTCGCAAATACAACAATGGCGGTCTAAAACTATATTAATCAACGGGAAAGAAATCAGCCTTGTAAATAGTCAAGAGCACTTGGGTGTTATACTTGAAGCCAGTGGCAAATGGTCTTGTCAGAAAGATACCATAATTAAAACAACTTCCAAGATGATTTATTCAATGAGAAAACTCATACACCTATTTCACAGAAATACTATTAACAGTATATATAAAATGTTCATAAGACCACACTTTGAATACGCATGTGAGGTATGGGATGGTTGCATCGAAGGACACAGTAAGAAATTAGAACAATTACAATTAGAAGCTGCACGCATTGTAAATGGTCTACCTAAATATGCCCCCAGGCATTCATTATATTACGAACCCTTAGTTGAGCGTAGAAAGAAATGTAAACTTTGTCTTTTCTTCAGAATTAATCTTAACATGGCCCCTTCCTATCTAACAGATATTCTACCCAAAACCGTTGTTGCAAAAAAACCTCATACAGTCTCAGAAATTCTGAAAACATCAGTGTGCATCTCACAAGACTAAGACATTCGTGTAAATCCTGTTACGCATCGTCTAGCCGATTGTGGAACTCTATTCCGTTATCCGATTTTTTGTTTTAAAATTTCTTGACAAAAGCACCACCCCACGTCACCTGCGTACTTCGCTTATGGAAAAAAAAAATATAACATCTTACACACAAAAATGAGATACATGTGCAGTCAATTGAATTATAATTTATATAGAATTGATATAAAAGATCACCCGAACTGTTCATGTTCAAATACATGTGAAAATGCATATCGTTATCTCATGGAATGTACATTGTTTAGTCATCCGCGCGAAATTATGTTTAACAGCCTTAAGAATGTTGTTCATAACATGCCTGTTGATGTACACCTACTGTTATACGGCAATGCAGATCACGTTGTTACAGAAAATGAAGCTATATCTAAGGCAGTACAACATTATACAACTGAAAGATTTGTGTAAGAAATGTTCATTCAACAATTGATGCAGTGTTGTCACCACGACATGACATGAACTGTCACTGTCTTATACATATACCAGCTGCAGTACGCTAGAGTATATTGACAGTGTTATCTCATAGATATGGACTGTTACTGTGTTAAACGTATACAGGCTGCCGTGAACTAGAGTCTATTGTCAGTGTTATCTCTTAGACGGGAACTGTTACTGCTTTGAACATATACCATATGCAGTACGCTAAAGTATATTGACAGTGTCATCACATAGACAGGAACTGTTACTGTGTTAAACACATACCAGCTGCACTACGCCAAAGTATATTGACAGTGTCATCACATAGACAGGAACTGTTACTGCTGTGTTAAACACATACCAGCTGCACTACGCTAAAGTATATTGACAGTGTCATCACATAGACAGGAACTGTTACTGCTGTGTTAAACACATACCAGCTGCACTACGCTAAAGTATATTGACAGTGTCATCACATAGACAGGAAATGTTACTGTGTTAAACACATACCAGCTGCACTACGCCAAAGTATATTGACAGTGTCATCACATAGACAGGAACTGTTACTGCTGTGTTAAACACATACCAGCTGCACTACGCTAAAGTATATTGACAGTGTCATCACATAGACAGGAAATGTTACTGTGTTAAACACATACCAGCTGCACTACGCTAAAGTATATTGACAGTGTCATCACATAGACAGGAACTGTTACTGTGTTAAACATATATTAGCTGCACTACGCTAGTGTATATTGACAGTGTCATCACATAGACAGGAACTGTTACTGTGTTAAACACATACCAGCTGCACTACGCCAAAGTATGTTGACAGTGTCATCACATAGACAGGAAATGTTACTGTATTAAACACATACCAGCTGCACTACGCTAAAGTATGTTGACAGTGTCATCACATAGACAGGAACTGTTACTGTGTTAAACACATACCAGCTGCACTACGCTAAAGTATGTTGACAGTGTCATCACATAGACAGGAACTGTTACTGTGTTAAACACATACCAGCTGCACTACGCTAAAGTATGTTGACAGTGTCATCACATAGACAGGAACTGTTACTGTGTTAAACACATACCAGCTGCACTACGCTAGTGTATATTGACAGTGTCATCACATAGACAGGAACTGTTACTGTGTTAAACACATACCAGCTGCACTACGCTAAAGTATGCTGACAGTGTCATCACATAGACAGGAACTGTTACTGTGTTAAACACATACCAGCTGCACTACGCTGCACTACGCCAAAGTATATTGACAGTGTCATCACATAGACAGGAACTGTTACTGTGTTAAACACATACCAGCTGCACTACGCTAAAGTATGTTGACAGTGTCATCACATAGACAGGAACTGTTACTGTGTTAAACACATACCAGCTGCACTACGCTAAAGTATATTGACAGTGTCATCACATAGACAGGAAATGTTACTGTGTTAAACATATATTAGCTGCACTACGCTAAAGTATGTTGACAGTGTTATCTCATAGACAGGAACTGTTACTGAGTTAAACATGTATCAGCTGCATTATGCTGGAGTATATTGACACTGGTATTACATAGACATGAACTGTTACTGTTTTATACATATACCAGTTGCAGTACGCTAGAGTATATTGACAGTTGTATTACATAGACATGGACTGTTACTGTGTTATACATATACCAGCTGCAGTACGCTAGAGTATATTGACAGTTGTATTACACAGACATGGACTGTTACTGTGTTATCAATATACCACCAGCTGTACGTTAAAGTATATTTACTGTGTTATCTCATTTGACAGGAAGTGCTACTGTGTTAAACGTATACCAGCTACCGTACGCTAAAGTATAGTGACAGAGTTATCTCATAGACAAGAACTGTTTCTGTTTTAAACGTATACCAGCTGCAGTACGCTAGAGTATATTGACAGTGTTATCTCATAGACAGGAACAGTTTTTGTGTAATACATATACCAGCTGCAGTAGGCTAGAGTATATTGACTGTGTTATCTCACAGACAGGAACTGTTTTTGTGTAATACATATACCAGCTGCAGTAGGCTAGAGTATATCGTCAGTGTTAATTGCATTAACATTAACATCAGTAGCTTGTCGAAATCTTACGTATGGATCGTGCGTAGTGGTACATGTTTTCCATAGCCGTGTGAAGTTACTGTGAACCAAAATAAACAACCATATATATTTCTTCTCTGGGAAAAAGGCTCCTCGGATTGTTTTAAACAAAATACTTGAACAGACTTTTGCAGAATAATTGAAACTTGAATAACGGTAACAACAACGATTCTGTGTAATCTGATGATATCTCTGGTGTAACTTCACTTATATATAGTTTCAAATCAAACATGAAGAATGTCTCGCGGAGGAGAAGTCAGTGTGGATGCATTAGCCGGTGTCACTATCTCGACAGAAGTCGAGTGGACGCGTGGAGGCATACAACTTATACACCTGCACAGGGCACCGAGAGGGATCAGCAACATTAGACCACATGTTGGGCCTTACGTCGCGACAATCACGAGGATTCTCACCGGACCTATTCTTTTCTTGTCTCATGGACAGTTCAAGATATTCGTGATCGTCTCCATCAACATGCAATGTGATGTCCCCGTAACACATGTTGTAGTCATCACTGAAACCTCTTAATCCAAAAAGGATTGTGTTGTAGAGCCATAGACAGTTTATTATGCTCAATGGATTACTGATTCCAATGGTTCTGGATTGCCACTGGGACTTGATCTCTTCTCCACCAATCGGGTCGGCTCTCCTTGGTAAGTTGCTACGCCCTTCTTTCTTTAGTTCAATTTTTCTCCCCTTTAATACTTCCCGTGATCGTGAAAATTCTAAAGATGACGTGAGTGAATAGCCATACCCCCTTTGTTTTAGTGATCGTTCGATACTGCTCTGAAAACCCCTGAGACTATTTGTTTCATGGTTTTCCCCATTTGTTGTTCGAACACTGATGAAAAACTTGAAGAGAAGTGTGTCTAGTTCGTTTGGGGGGATTTCATGCATTTGGCGAATTTTGTTTTGGACTTTTAGAAAGTTATCGAACAGTTTCAAATCGAACAAAGTTTTCTTGGCTGTGTTTTTGTTTTGATTGTCTAGGATCACACCATCGATCATGCCGTCCTCAACAGCCACAAATCTACCTTGGGCATCTTTCGACTTTGTGTTCGTCGTCTGCTTCGCCGTGCTCGACGATGGCGTTTTGATGATGAAACGTTGGCCACAGGGACGTTTCAATAATCTCCCTTCATCACAGTCAAATTCAAATTCGGTACCATCAACCTGTAACGTGTAATATCCATTTGTCAACACGGATATCAATGTAACACTTTGATCTATTAAAACATTGTCTCCAACATCAAAGGTATCCATGTTGTTTGTGAACACCTACTCATGTGCACCGGCGAAAAACGCCCCACTTCCGGTTATCTAATTTGCATATCTAATTTGCATACTTATGTCATTGGGTAATGACATACATGTTTTTATGTCATAAGCTTATGTCATGGATACATGCTTTAGTTAAATAATAAATTGAATTACTGTACATTGTTATACAGATACACACTTCAATTCCTAGTGTATATGGAATTGCTGTTTATTGTTATGCAGATACAAGTCCCCCGGTGTTTACCAACTGTGACGGTGACAGGAACATTACCATATACAAGATGCAGGCACCAAGCATCACCATCCCCTCTGTTCAAGACAACTCAGGCTTTCTGAGCATGATAGGTTTCACCAGCCCCACCGGCTTCAATCCTGCAGACCCAGTGTGGAAGAACACGGATGTCACATATGAAGCCACCGATGGTGCTGGCAGGAGTTCCCAGTGCAAGTTCAAGATCAGTGTCAGAGGTAGGATATTACCATGAAAAAGGTGCCCTGCAATCCTGATTCAGAGAGCTTTCTAAAGCATCAGTAATGCACAGCTGCCGTGAACGTGAACCAGTAGTACGCATGTGCGGTACATGTTTATGCTGGTATTAAAGTAACAGTAACGAACGGTTTTTTCGTGCAGTATTATATGTATCAATATAGTAAATGTTAGTTAGCTTTCATCAGTATTGAATGTTACGCTAATTTTGGCTCAGTAGAAGTCAAGTCAAAAATATTTAATGAACTGTATTGTTCACATCTTTTCAGAAAGAGGTTCCATCAATCTGGACTGTCCTAATGTGACATACAATGTGACATCAACAACATCTACCACTCACAAGATCAACGACAGCATCAGCCACTCTAGCGGAACACTGACCTCCGACCCTACAATCATCGCCAGTTTGTCCAATGTGGGGACATTCAATGACTACAGAGTGACGCTACGAACCGACCAGGGATTTGAAAAAACATGTGCCTTCCAAGTTCTAATCAAAGGTAAACTCTCTCCTTAAATGTTTAAGAATTACGTTTAATTTTGCCGTAAATCTCCATTGATTAGCAAGCATGCTATTAAAAATCAACGCTTTCTCAGAGATAACGAACGTATGTCGCGGATACGGAATGTGCTGACATGCGTAGTAGACCTCAGCAGGAGACAAGCTATATTGTTGTATCAAGCAATAACTGTGTGTCCCTGTGCCAGTCCTCCTGTCACGGATATGAGCTTCTAGTCTATAACATCAACGTATCTTGATGAAAAAGGGTTGCATCTTAACGCGATACACACTAAGTATTTTGATGATTTTAACGCTTCATGTAATCACGTTTTTGAGACATCAATGTTTGGAGACAGCAATCAAGCCATCTAGTTGTGAATGGGGCAATAAAGTGTTTGATACCAATGTGTTTCCAATAGGAACTAATACATCACTTTCTTTCTTTCGTTTGTTTGTTTGTTTGTTTCTAGTTTAAATTGATATTCTAGCTATCTTACGATACGTGTAGGTTAATGGGCCTCATACGACACGTGTAGGTTACTGGTCCTCATACGACACGTGTAGGTTACTGGGCCTCATACGACACGTGAAGGTTACTGGGCCTTATACGACACGTGTAGGTTACTGGGCCTTATACGACACGTGTAGGTTACTGGGCCTTATACGACACGTGAAGGTTACTGGGCCTTATACGACACGTGAAGGTTACTGGGCCTTATACGACACGTGTAGGTTACTGGGCCTCATACGACACGTGTAGGTTACTGGTCCTCATACGACACGTGTAGGTTACTGGTCCTCATACGACACGTGTAGGTTACTGGGCCTCATACGACACGTGTAGGTAACTGGGCCTCATACGACACGTGTAGGTTACTGGGCCTCATACGACACGTGTAGGTTACTGGTCCTCATACGACACGTGTAGGTTACTGGGCCTCATACGACACTTGTAGGTTACTGGTCCTCATACGACACGTGTAGGTAACTGGGCCTCATACGACACGTGAAGGTTACTGGTCCTCATACGACACGTGTAGGTTACTGGGCCTCATACGACACGTGTAGGTAACTGGGCCTAATACGACACGTGTAGGTAACTGGGCCTCATACGACACGTGTAGGTTACTGGGCCTCATACGACACGTGTAGGTAACTGGGCCTCATACGACACGTGTAGGTTACTGGTCCTCATACGACACGTGTAGGTAACTGGGCCTCATACGACACGTGTAGGTTACTGGTCCTCATACGACACGTGTAGGTAACTGGGCCTCATACGACACGTGTAGGTTACTGGTCCTCATACGACACGTGTAGGTAACTGGGCCTCATACGACACGTGTAGGTTACTGGGCCTCATACGACACGTGTAGGTAACTGGGCCAGATACGACACACAAAGTTTACTAGGCCTCATACGACAGACGATGGTTTCTGATGACCTATTTTAATCATGAATACCCACGGGGTTAATATCTCATAAACAATCTGCGAAATTCCGATCTTTTGTTGAAGAGAAAGAATCAATCACTCCCCTTTTCGCGAACACATATTGCCACTGTTCGTAGACTCGTACTTATGATATAATTGAAAACTTAGCAGGGTTATCTAATGATTATTGGAAAAGACATTGTCCAATCTATTTGTTCAGTTCATGAGTCTGTGTATACATTTGGAGAAACATTAAGCCCTATTTCTAAATTTTTAGTTTGAACTTGTTGAAAGTCTTTCAGAGTGGGTTAAACGTAATGTTATCAGTTGTAGAAAGTACGAACTGAAAACAGAATAAACTGTCCCTGCCAGCTGTCATCCAAAGCCAGGTTGCCCTACATGGAAAGTTTTGGAGTTCTTTAATGATTTTTATTACGTTCAGAGGGAACATGGCATTGTGTTCATGATCAACGTATCATGTAAGGCATCACATTACATGGTAAATGCCCAAGGGACGCAACTGTGCAAAGCGAATCTCGGCGCCTAAGACGACTGGGCCACCTGTGCCCCCAAATGTCATGAGAAAAACGTACGGCATGTAACATGACAGTAACTTCATGTACCAAGGTACATGGTAATAATTGTAAGATTGTTCGATTACCTCAAGTCAATCAGCCTGCTTTATGGTTTTCTCTACTCAAATCCACTATTTAGTTTAAGAAATTATTGTTCTGTTTCTTCTTGCAAGAAGCAACTCGACATAATAGATGTCTTTCAGTATATTTCTATATGATTTAAAACCTTTTTTTTCCTTTAGTATTAGTTACGTAAAATCAGTAAGTGATTAAGTTAGAAGTTGCTTGTACCTCGAAAATAACTTTAGAAACAAGAAAGCAAGTTTGAGATTAAGATGTTTACGCATGTTTGCATATAAGTTCCAAAACCAAATTTATCTGGAATCTTCATGCTGAATCCCTTAGAAACTGTGTCAAAGGCTTTTTTAAAAATTAATTAATATTAATACCCTTTCTTCTTGAATCTTTTTGCTTAAAAAAAGATGTCCAATGAGAGTCGAATGTTTTGGCTAATACACGAGATAAATCCCGTCTGATTCTCGTGGAGAAAGAGATCCGACGTTTTTTTATCCTATTTGTTATACAAGTGCTAGTAATCTTATATAAAGCATTTGAAATAGATATAGGTCTCCATTCTTTTAATAAAGGTTTATCTAAATTTGGCTTTAGAATTCATGGTATAACACCCCTATTCATAATAAGAGTCAAAGAATTGTTTTTGTAAGTGTCACTGATAAACGACAAATCCAAATGTTGATGTCTAAAAAATATTTAACGTTCAAAAAGAGAAAACAACAAGTCCCAGGTTCTTATTATTTTTCAATGACTTAAGAGTAGCAGCTGTCTCGTTAATTTTTGTTTCTACATCTAGTTGTTCTGAGGATTTTTATTTAAAGTTCAAGTGGTAATGTCCTTTAAACAACCTAAACCTTCAACGTCAATATCGTCTACAAATAATAAAACTTTTCTGTTCGTTCATTATTGAATAACCATTTGTTATTTCTTCACCTTTTTCTTTCATATAAGTACTGGTAAGTTTATTCGATAAGTTCCTGTTTTCTAAGTGGCAAACTTAATTAGTTGGTTACTCTCCTTCGTTATACTAGTGTATTCTATTACGGATTTGAATTCTTCTCATTTCCTCTTTTTTATTTTTTTCGAACTCTGATTTTCGTTCTGATAGTGTAGTTAACAATGTTTCGTTTACAAATTCGTTTCTTACTTGTTCTTCTTATTCCCTTATATCATTTTCTATTTCTTTTTTTTCTCTTTTAGTTTTTTTTAAGTGTGTACAATATGAGTTTTTGCTCTTACTTTAACAAACGTCTCCACATCTCTATCAATAGATACAATTAATGCCTTCATAATCATATTTAGGATATGCATATTCACGTTTCGTTTAAAATATCTAATACCATTTCTTTATAATCATCTTTTCGTAGTTATAATGTATTGGACTTCATATCCTCTCCCCTTTTCTTTATTTTGTTGATTTGATAGCGACAATGTAATTGCGGAATGACCTGTTTTGTAGCTGGTTAAGATTGAAGAATGAACGGTGAGATTAAAAAGATCTTCAGTCACAAGGAAAAGGTCTCGTCTAGCTTGTTGACGAGGGTTGTTTTTCCACCAAGTAAATGTATAGTTGATCGGATTTAGTTCTCACCATGAATCTGTTAGATTTTATGATTCAATTTTATCTAAGACTTGCTTTGAGATAATCAATATTTATTATAGTTTTCAAAGTCTATTGAATGATCAAGTACAAAGTTCGAATCTCCACATATTACTAAGGAGTCATTACCTATATGATCATTTTTTGTTAAAATAATTTTTTGTAAAAAAAAGTGTTTTAGTAATTTGGACCCCACACTGTGATGATGGATGATCAAAGTCGTCATTTTTTCATATAACTTTCTTCATCTTTGGAAATATGAACATCTTGCAAACAAATCATTGAAGATTTCCATTTTTCTATATAAAGTAGAGACTTTTTTTCGTTTCGTTTTTTTCGGCTAGGCCTCTATATTTGGCTGTTACTATTTGCATTTTATCGTTTACTCTCATGTTTTAGTAACACCATGATGCTCTTGAAATAACAAAGTTTAATGTACCCACGGGCATGGTTTTTGCTTCGTATAACGATAGAAGAGAATAACATGAATAAAAGCAAAGAAATATCTCCTGTTGCCACGAGCTCTGGCTTTTGAGTTGAAGGCAACTAACTACCTTCCCATTGATTAGCAGTACTGTCTACAATTCACACCTACATATACCAACAAATACACACACACTTACGCACACGCACACGCACACATACATATACCCATACATACACACATATACATACGTATACACGGATGCCAGAACATATATGCACGTGCATGTACATTTAACAGTATTCAATTTAGTGTCCCAATTAAAACAAAGATACAGTGTAAAGAAATCAGGAATAAATAAATTGTAATACAATTTTGTTTGTGTATTTGGCTGGTCTATAAGCAGTCCAAAATGTCCTGACGAATATGCACTGCTAAATATCAGTCACCACAGAATGATGTCTTGTCCTTGCCACATACCTGCAAGACCTTGACCCTATCTTTACCGCCTGGTGCGTGCATGCTATATATAGTATGTAGGTCGACGAGTTCGACTCAAAACATTGAAGTGTCCACCGTGTAGCCTGTTAGTGGAAAAACATAATACAAGCTTTACAAAACATGTAACATTCTGTCCTATGGACAGTTTGTAGTTGTTCCTACTGTCAAGGCCTCCAAATAACAAAACCATAATCTGTAAATATCATTTATCTACATCATTATTTTATTTTTATTTTATTTTACGAAATTGACATACCAAATAATGCTACATTTTAGGTCAGTATGTTAACTGATTAAGTAACCTGCCAACAAAAAGCGACACAATCTATTCCATATCCGCAAGAAATCGCTGCTGAAAGCAGAGTTGATTGAACGATTTCGCGTGTATCACGAGCATGTGTTTATGTATCACTATCAAATAGTGTTGATACAAGGAGTTCGCGAAACGGTGAGCGTATCCTGCCCCATCGGTGGCACCAGTCACAAACACATACGAAGGCCAGTCAATTGTTGACCTGAATAAAACACGGGAACATATGGTACACGTCAAACTAGGGAATTGCATCGAAAGTCATTTTTGTCACTGATGCGTCAAACTTGGAAATATCCTCCACATGTCTACCATAAACCTTATGACAGCTTTACAGCTGGATGGAATGTTGTAACATTGATCAAACTACATTTGAGCAAGAGTCACATGACGCACTTTGAAATCTTCGCAGAAAGAGCATGCTCGATTGTGCCCCACAAGTTGTCAAATGTAGACACCAAGAGCTGGAGCTGATGGAATATTGCTCGACATGAGTTGCCTTTTAGAAAGTTGAAGTCATCCCTCTTGTCATACGGCTGTTCTTGTGGAGATCGTTTTGTCACACTGAATCGTTATGCATAGAACTAAATATGAAGCGGTCTCAACGGTATCCTTTATCTCTAGTTCAGGTTGGTTAATCAGTGGAAGGAAATTGGCTATTTGATGATTATTGAGCAATATCAGATCATCGACGCACCTGAAGCTTCAAGGTCCTGGCCAGATTACTTTGTGTTAACTTGGTCACCGAGCAGAAATTCCTATTCATATGCAAAGCGAGGAGCACAATTGGTGCCCATCATGATGTCTACCCCTTGCCTACATGTCTTACCCAGACAGTTTACATACATGTTATCAACGAGGAAATCCTGCATGCATCAGTGCCATCAACGTTTGACTGAAGACATGTCCCTTCCTCTTTTGTACAGAATTACCACGCTCAGTAAAAATCATACAAAGAGAGATGTACTACGAAATCCCTGTTTCAAAGATCAATCATAATCCTTAATACAATCATGGAGGGGCTTTCTTTATATTCACCAAAATAGAATTTATACCACATATGGAATAGCAAAACCTCATAGGATTTGCTTGGTTATTTTAATCTTCAAATCATTCAGGGAGACTCCATTTTGTTCAGGCAGAATTCTAATCCTCTACCTCTGCAACATCCTATTGCTGAAGCAGTTATGAAAAGTGGGCTACTGACAATTGCACAGTGTTCATAAGTAGTGATTTACATATGTCCCATATATGTAGCGGTCTATTTGTTAAAAGGGGTTTATGAATCGACAAAAATAACATTCATTACTTATGATGTGAAGACGTTTCCTCTTGCAGCTGGAAAATGTTTCCATGGCCTGACCAACACTCCACAGAACGCCGACATTACTCGCTCCAACAACAGCGACAACAGCATCCTCTCCTCCGTCGTCACCTGCAACAGTGGATATGCGTTTGCTGACGGCTCCACAAGTCGGACATACAACTGTTCGGGGGGAAATGTCTGGTCACCATCCCTCCCCCTAGAGGACTGTTTACGTAGGTGGAACTGCTGTCAACGATCTGGCGGCTTTCATGATGTCAGCTTCTGTTAGATATGTATATGTAAGGTAGTTATGTGAATCTGTCATCTTCAAGAGCATGATGTTTACTTAAAGGAATGTTACTTTCTGATGTTCTGGTGCGTATCTGTACATGGATTATCCTTGGATATACTTTGCATCTCAGTGTATTGTTGATAATACAAACTTCCTCTACAGCGTCAACAACTACTGAGTACACATACAAGGTCAGCCTTGATCTGAAGTCCAAAGACCTAGTGCAGTCGGACAACGCATGCCGTAACAACCTAACACAGTTTTACAATGATATGATATCCCCTGCGACATCCGCCATCAACCAACTGTGTCGGATTGACATACTACAAGGAACCTACTACCGCTTCACAGTCAGCGATGCCATGTTTGTCGGAGGTGTTGCTTTCTTTAAAGTATGTTGATATATCGATCTGTAATTATTAGTCATAAATAATATTGAACTTATGTGTCAGCAAGACATAACAGAACAATACAGATAATAGTAAGGTAACACTCATTTCAGGCTGCGTTATTTGAGACGTCCATTGCTTAATCACAAATGTTGGATAAAGACATTAGTCTCATTGGCGCCATGATGAATCGTATCAGTCATATATTGAAAACCTTGTCCAATAATGAAAAAGGATGTTTTACTCTAAGATTACATTGTAGATCATTCAAACGTTCTGTGCATATTGGTTCAGTACACTGATGCTATGATGGGGTACAATGTGAAGTACATGTTCAGTGCACTGATGCTATCACGGTGTACAATGTGAAGTACATGTTCAGTATACTGATGCTATCACGGTGTACAATGTGAAGTACATGTTCAGTACACTGATGCTATCACAGTGTACAATGTGGAGTACATGTTCAGTACACTGATGCTATCACGGTGTACAATGTGAAGTACATGTTCAGTACACTGATGCTATCACAGTGTACAATGTGGAGTACATGTTCAGGACACTGATGCTATCACGGTGTATAATGTGGAGTACATGTTCAGTACACTGATGCTATCACAGTGTACAATGTGAAGTACATGTTCAGTACACTGATGCTATCACGGTGTATAATGTGGAGTACATGTTCAGTACACTGATGCTATCACGGTGTATAATGTGGAGTACATGTTCAGTACACTGATGCTATCACAGTGTACAATGTGAAGTACATGTTCAGTACACTGATGCTATCACAGTGTAGAATGTGGAGTACATGTTCAGTACACTGATGCTATCACGGTGTACAATGTGAAGTACATGTTAAGTACACTGATGCTATCATGATGTACAATGTGAAGTACATGTTCAGTACACTGATGCTATCACAGTGTACAATGTGTAGTACATGTCCAGTACACTGATGCTATCACGGTGTACAATGTGGAGTACATGTTCAGGACACTGATGCTATCACGGTGTATAATGTGGAGTACATGTTCAGTACACTGATGCTATCACAGTGTACAATGTGAAGTACATGTTCAGTACACTGATGCTATCACGGTGTATAATGTGGAGTACATGTTCAGTACACTGATGCTATCACGGTGTATAATGTGGAGTACATGTTCAGGACACTGATGCTATCACGGTGTATAATGTGGAGTACATGTTCAGTACACTGATGCTATCACGGTGTACAATGTGAAGTACATGTTCAGTACACTGATGCTATCACGGTGTACAATGTGAAGTACATGTTCAGTACACTGATGCTATCACGGTGTATAATGTGGAGTACATGTTCAGTACACTGATGCTATCACGGTGTACAATGTGGAGTACATGTTCAGTACACTGATGCTATCACAGTGTATAATGTGGAGTACATGTTCAGTACACTGATGCTATCACGGTGTACAATGTGAAGTACATGTTCAGTACACTGATGCTATCACAGTGTACAATGTGTAGTACATGTCCAGTACACTGATGCTATCACAGTGTACAATGTGGAGTACATGTTCAGGACACTGATGCTATCACGGTGTACAATGTGATGAACATGTTCAGTACACTGATGCTAACACGGTGTATAATGTGAAGTACATGTTCAGTACACTGATGCTATCACAGTGTAGAATGTGATGTACATGTTCAGTACACTGATGCTATCACGGTGTACAATGTGGAGTACATGTTCAGTACACTGATGCTATCACAGTGTACAATGTGGAGTACATGTTCAGTACACTGATGCTATCACAGTGTAGAATGTGATGTACCTGTTCAGTACACTGACGCTATCACGGTGTACAATGTGGAGTACATGTTCGGTACACTGATGCTATCACGGTGTACAATGTGAAGTACATGTTCAGTACACTGATGCTATCACGGTGTACAATGTGAAGTACATGTTCAGTACACTGATGCTATCACGGTGTACAATGTGGAGTACATGTTCAGTACACTGATGCTATCACGGTGTACAATGTGAAGTACATGTTCAGTACACTGATGCTATCACGGTGTACAATGTGGAGTACATGTTCAGTACACTGATGCTATCACAGTGTACAATGTGGAGTACATGTTCAGTACACTGATGCTATCACGGTGTACAATGTGAAGTACATGTTCAGTACACTGATGCTATCACGGTGTACAATGTGGAGTACATGTTCAGTACACTGATGCTATCACGGTGTACAATGTGGAGTACATGTTCAGTACACTGATGCTATCAAACCATGCCTCCCTTTCAGCACAAGGTGGAACTGATACTCAAACTGGAGAATAACGATGGCCGGACTACAGCTCTGGAACATTGCGCCGGCAACATCAACCTGCAGAAGAAGGTGTTATTTGGTCTGGTAGCCGGAGGATGTAACTTCACTGTGCAGGACACGTCCACGGGCGTTAATCTCACTCGGTCCGGACAATCGTGCAATGTGGGATACCAGCTGGGGGACGTCGGGGTAAACAAGATGTGTTGTAAGTGTGCTGGTTTATTGGACTTTTAGGTGGCACGTGTATGTACTGTCTGCTTGTTGTCGGTTTCTTGTCTGTTGTCTTCTGCTGTCCTTACAAAGAAAACGTAAAGATCTTTTCAGTTCGCAAAGTATGTCATAGTCTGTTACAAACTACAAGAACGGACCATAATATTTTACAATGACATATTTTAACCATGAAAACTATGACTATTACATAATGAAGACCGTAAGACTTTAAAAAAAGTATTCCTTCATATTTATGAGCGAAGGTAAGTGTTGTTGACAATAGCGATAGTGTCATAAATTGCGTTAAGGTTCACTCAGTCTTTTAGAGTGCACGTTCTCTTTGCGTGTCAATGAGGGATAAAACATCACCACCATGTATAGATCTACAAGGTATTCAAACGTTCTGGTACAGTACATGTCAACTACGATGACTGACTGATCTGACGGTGCATTATATTGCTCTTTTGATGATGCTATGATAAAATATTTAAGTAAATTGCAGAAGAAAATGTTCTGTCTCAGACAATAGAATCCATTAGTGTTCACCTGTGTGAATCCGATTTTTTCAATAAAGGACTAAGACTGAGACTTAAGACTGCGAAATATGTTCTTTGAGGGAGATTCGCATCTTGTTAGTTTATTCTTGATTGGACCTTGTACTTTGACTATGTCTCGGTTTATTCTCATATTTCAAGTTCACCTGCTCCTTCTAACCCATGATGAAACCTGAACTTGTTCAAGAGGTTTGAATCTGACTGTCCCCGCAGCTATAGTGAAAACCCTGTTCGGCCGTTTTGTTAAACACGTTATGAAAGTTGATAGTTTTTTTTATTGTTTTGATTGTTTAGTTACTGGACGTTCTAAAAAATATGTTCCGTTTTTCTTCAATGCGTAAAAGTATGGCATTTGTATTTAAACCATAGCAACTCAAATTCATTATTGACTTGAACGATGAAACTTCACATGCTTTTTTCACCCAACCATGAGTCCTCAATGGCCCCTGCTTAAGCCATATTGAAAACATAATTTGGTCATTCTCAGCCATGTTATGAGCCATGTTATGAGATGTTAAGAACTGTACTTGCATCACCCTTGCGAGCTACAAGTCAGATAACCCCGAACCTCTTCCATTCAAGAAATGATGGTACAAGTGTCATCAGATTTGAAGGTGTTTATTCTGTATATGAAGGTTCTCATTAAGGGTAAAAGGCTGTAAGAAATACAAACACAAATGATTACTTAACCTGGTCGCTAGCATATAATATCATGTGTTTAACAAAAGGTGTCCACATTTTAAAATCATTACGGTAATTTGCTATTCAACAAAAATAACAACTTATAGTCCACAATGCCCTAAAACAGACTTTAAAGACATTCCTAAACAACGTAAATATCCATTTACTTATAACCTTATGCGACAATATATTATAAGGGTAACTCAAACACATAAATTGAATGCGTCAGCATATTCAAAAACCGCGCGAAAACTTAGTCACATTACAAGGCTTGTCAAAGCGAATTCCCGACATATCATCCTATGACAGCCCAATTAAACTGTACACAAACAATCTTAACCATACTATCATAAATATACTGCCAATACTCACACTGTGGTGTGTCACAAGTGGTCAAAACCTAATTTTCCTGATTGCGAGAGCGAACGGCATGGTTTGTCTCGGCTACCTTTACGCAACGACAAATTTGACTCGTGCACAGGAGAGTTCCAACAGCCAGGGAGCATACATTGCGGGAAACTGTTACGCTGTAACAGCACACTCCCCGCCTGATATCTCACCGAGATATCACCTCAAGTTCAGCAACTAAATCTAATAAATCAAATCTACATCTAATATAACTAATATAACACATGAAAAAGTACTTTGGCACTTGAGAGTTCATCTTGAACTGGACAGTTTATGAAGTATCAGAGTTTGGAGATAGCAGTGTTACCAACTCTGTAACTGGACGAATGTACCTCGAAATCTTTCCTCCTCTCATTATTCGAAGTTCAACCTTTCGTTCTTTCCCATCACTGCTTGGGAAGGCTCTCTCGACAACTGCCATTGGCCAATCATTTCTAGCACTGTTCTTCTCATTCAGTAGAACAAGATCACCCTGTAGCACATTACGCTGGTCCTGAAACCACTTCCGTCTTGGCTGTAGAGTGTGGAGATATTCCTGTCTCCAACGATTCCAGAACGTATTTGCGAGGGATTGAACTCTCTGCCATTGCGATCGAAGCAAGTCCTTGGAGTCACAAAGTTCCATTGGTTCCACCTCATGATTAGTCTTCTGAGTCAAGAGAATGGCAGGGGTAAGAATTTCTGGCGACTGAGGATCCGAGGAAATTGGGATGATAGGTCGCGCATTCACAATCGCAGATACTTCGGCCATGAATGTCGATAGAACTTCATGAGTTAAATGCCTATGGCGGGTTTCTGCCAACATTGAGTCCAGAATTCTTCGTGTGACTCCTATCATCCTTTCCCAGACGCCGCCCATGTGTGAGGATTGTGGTGGATTGAAAATCCATTTGGTCCTTTCATCATCTAGGAAACGCTTGATAGAATTGTCCTCAACATTCACAACATTTATCTTGAGGGCATCTGTTGCTCCAACAAAGTTTGTTCCGCGATCCGACCTCAGTTCCTTCACTGGTCCCCTTATTGAAATGAATCTTCTGAGAGCGTTGATGAATGAAGAAGAAGATAATTCTTCAACAACTTCGATATGGATAGCCCTTGTGGTAAGACATGTGAATAAAACAGCCCACCGCTTGTTATTAGCCTGACCCCCTCTAGTGCGACGTGTAACAACAAACCATGGTCCAAAGGTGTCTAATCCAACGTAAGTGAAGGGAGGACTTGGTATTAGACGGTCACTAGGGAGATCAGCCATCTTCTGGTATTGTTGTCTTCCACGGAGCTTCCGACATGAAACACATTTGTATATGAGCGAGGAGATCACCCTCTTAGCTCCAGTGATCCATAAACCAGCCGACCTAACTGCTCCTTCTGTGAACGTACGACCCTGATGTTTGACCCTTGAGTGATGGTGATGCACTAGGAGCCTCGCAAGGTGAGAGTCACCAGGAATAATGGTCGGGTTTTTCAGGCGAGCATCAAAATCTGATTTGTTTAGGCGTCCGCCAACACACAGAATACCATGTTCATCCAGCTTTGGATCCAAGCTATTCCTTGGGATGGGCGAATATGCCAGCAGACAGTCAATCTCTGCTCCAAAGGTTCTGTACTGTACCGTCTTCATTAGAAAGCGTTCAGTCTCTTTCAAGGTGTCCGAATTGATTCCCAATGGATCTTTGTTTTGGATTTTGCGAGCCATGCACTTGAGTAGAGTGAAAGCGCGTACAAGACTTTCCCATGAAGAAAATTTTTCAAGGTAGCGTGTGTCCAAAGATCCACTAGTGTCGCATACCTTTGTCTTCATGGACGAAGGTGCAGGTCTCAGTTCCTTGTCGTTTTCCTCATCAGTAAGGATGAAGGTATGAGCACAGGAATCTTGGGAAATTGGCGTTGGACCTGAGAGCCAAATTGATGAATTCAACTGCGAAGCATGGATGGATCTGGTACCAATATCAGCCGGGTTCTTATCCGAATGGACATAATGCCATTGTTCTGGTTGAGAATATTTCCTGATACGGTCAATCCTGTTAGATACATACACATAAAACCTTCTTGTTTGATTGTAGATGTAGCCTAGGACTAGCTTGCTGTCTGTGTAATACTGAACAACATCAAGAGGAAGTCCGAGATGTTCACAAACCAGATCCGCAATTTCAACCGCAAGTACTGCAGCACAAAGTTCCAACCTTGGTATGGTGTGCCCATGCATAGGAGCAACCTTTGCCTTGCCAAGAATGAAGCCTGTCCTTTGGTCTTTATCTTTATCAACAGTTCTCAAGTAAGCCACAGCAGCTACGGCCTTCTCTGATGCGTCTGAGAAGACATGTATCTCTTTTGTTATGACACCCTGAAATGAGACAGGCACATATGTGCGTGGTATCTTCAGTTCCTCAAGCAATGTTAACGAGTCCTTCCAATCTTCCCATTCTCGTTCACTGGCAGAAGGTAATGGTTGGTCCCAGTCTGAATTTCCAGATATCAGATCCCGAAAGAGAATTTTTCCACGAATGGTCACAGGAGCAGCAAATCCCATAGGGTCGAACAGACTGTTGATTGTTGATAGAATTCCTCGCTTGGTGTAAGGTTTTGGGTCTGCAGACACTTTGAAAGTAAAGGAGTCAGATTGCAAATCCCACGCCATTCCTAGGCTACGCTGCACAGGAAGCAAGTCTGACCCTAGGTCCAGGTCTTTTAGGTCTTTCGCCAAGTCGTCTGATGGGAATGTTTTCATAACCTCTGGATCATTTGATGCTACCTTGTGTAGTCTCAGATTTCCTCCTGACAGCAATGCTTGCTGTGTTCTCTTTATTAGGTCAATTGCTTGCTCGGTAGTTTGTAGACATGTTAGCCCATCATCAACATAGAAGTCTCTTTCGACGAAGAGCTGCACATCCTTTCCGTATGTTTCTACAACAGACTTGGCAGATCTCCTCAGTCCGTAAGTGGCAACAGCTGGTGAAGGGCTGTTTCCAAAGACATGAACTTTCATCCTGTATTCCACCAACTCTTGGTTTATGTCATTATCCTTATACCATAGAAATCGTAGGAAATTCCTGTGTTCCTCTTTTACGAGGAAACAATAGAACATTTGCTGAATATCTGCCATTACAGCTGTCGACTCTCTTCGAAAGCGTAGAAGCACACCTACAAGACTGTTTGCTAAGTCTGGTCCTTTCAGCAGCACATCATTAAGTGATATCCCCTCATGATTTGCTGAAGAGTCGAACACTGCTCTTAACTGGTCCGGCTTCTTCGGGTGGTAAACCCCAAATAAAGGTAAATACCAACGTTCCTCATCTTCCGTCAATGGTGGAGCCAACTCTGCATGATCATTGTCAAGAATTCTCTGCAT